AAAAAAGAATTTAAAAAAATAAAAAATGTACATTTTAAATTAGTTACATCATCATTAACCACTTATTGATGAATTACTAGGGAATTACTTGGAAGAGCTATGTAAAGTATAGGGATAGTTATGTCAAGAGTAATAACTTTAATAAACGAATTGACCCCATCGTAAATCACTTTTTAATGAAGTACTAATTGAACCATGACAACAATCAGGGGAATCTCTATACTGCTATTATAAAAACCAAGTCTTATAATAATTTTTTATTATAATACAAGCTAGCTAGCACCCATTAAATATATCTATGTTAATATAAAATATATCCCCTACTTTGATAAACCCCAACACTCATTCTCTGTTTGAGTTAGGAGTTGTTCTCCACCGTGTAGTTAGTTAGTACCACCCACATGGTGAAATCAACAAGCACCACCCACATTTGTCGCCCGACTCACTCATTTCGCTCTCTCCTCACCCACTCTGTTCTCCTTCTTCTCTCTCTTTCTCTTCCCCCACGATGTCCTTTCGCTACCCGCAGGACTACGTGACTGTATACGATGGTTACACCATACGTGACCCCATCATATTGAAGTTCTGCGGCGGAGGTCAGGCGGTGCCGGCGGCAGTTTCCAGCGGCCCGGAGCTTTTGGTTGAGTTCAGCACGTCGCCGTTTGGCACCTTCACCGGCACCTCGTCGCAGGTCCTGCCGCTCTACGGATTCCAGCTGGAGGTGAGTTTTCGAGGTGTTACCACCAGAGGATAAACCAGCAAACGCATTTGTTCCCTCCATCCACAGGTCGAAGTTCAGTTCGTGGACATCCAGAGTCCCACGTACTCGAAGAACAAGAAGCCCTGCGAGTTCTGGATTCGCGGAGCAGGTCGCGGCATCCTAGAGAGTCCCAAGCACTCGCTGTCTCCGAACTCGACGTGCCTGTACCACCTGCAGGGATTGGGTGTCTTCAAGACCTTTGACCACCTGAGTTTGTCGCGCCGTACGAGCAGTCAGTCGGGGATGCACCAGCCACTCTCCCGGTTTAAGGTGTGGATTTCAGTGCTGAAGTTCAACCTAGACCCGGAGTTTGGCCAAATGGATGAGACGTCGGTGGGGGCCATTGGAGTGCTGCAGACTCAGGAGGATTGCAGTGGAATGCTGCGCATCTGGGATGGAACTCTAAGGGATGCACCCGTTTGCAAGGATTTGAACTGGTAGGTGGTTTTTCTCCGATTTCTTAATGTCATGTTAAGGTTCTATTTAGTTATCTGCCAGATAAGGTTAACGTAAAGTTAAATACTTTGGAAGGGAAAATAAGTCTTTACTGGTATTACCGATTTCACAATCTAATGTTAATGTCCTAGTTTGTTAACACAACTGTCAGAGAAAATTAACATGAAGTTAAATATTTTGGATATGCAATGCCGTTTTCTCAATGTCGTGTTAGTTTTACTTTATCAATTAATGCAAATGACATAATTTCAGTGCCAGCGAGACGAGTAGCTATAATACCCTGGGCCACTATTCCCACAACGCCACCAATGTAATTGCCAGATTTTGTCGGGGCACTATACCACGCACCTGTGATCGGTCCAATATTAATGAGACCTACGCCAGACCCTGTACGATCTCCGAGAGCTATGTTTCCAGCAGCGATGCTATCACGCTTGAGCTGCGCAACACCGAATCCACTGTCCTAAGGTGGGTTTCCCTTATAAAATATAATATACAAATATATAATAATGAAAATGTTAACTTCCTTTTGTAGACCCCTGGATTTCAAGCTGAAGTACGAATTCATTGACCTGCATCAGGATGGCTTGCCCTGGGGTGGTGGGGAGCACGACTGCAACCGAAAGTTTCTCAGCAACTTGATGGATCGCAAGGATCCAGCCATATTCCGCAGTGTGCGTAATATTTTCCTATTCGGAAGAGGAGGCACTAGGAACCTCAAGTGCATCTACAAATTCGAGGCTCAGCGAGGGGAGAGGGTCAGGATCAAGATGAGGAAAGTGACAACCACCAATAGAGCTTGCTATTCTAAAGTGGATGAGGATATCAACAGATCCTTTTGCTATGGGGATACCAACGTTAGAATTGAGGTACGTACTAACCACTTTAGGCTGAACTCTTTTTGTAATTTCTAAATATTAACTTAGATCTTTGAGCGACCCTATCACGACTCCATTCTACTCCATCGAGGCTGCATGTGCAACTCCTCCAACCAATCCCACCTGCCTGTGGAGTACACTTCCACAAGTCGCGATGTGGAAGTGCACTTCATTGCCCAGAACATGACCACCTTGGATGATCCGGATACGGTTAATTTCGAGGGCATGTTTGAGTTCGTCAAGGCTCCAACTAGTTGTAAGGATGGTCGCCGGAAATTCGGACCCAGTGGCACTATAGATATGACTTTTGGAGATGTAAGTTGCTTTTAAAGCCTAGCATGATATAAAATTACATCATAGGCTTATCTATTTCAGGTGGAATGCCGCTCAAGACCTTGGTTAATAGAACCTTCGAATGGCAATAAGTTCTTGTACGTCCGACTGAAGGCCATATTCCTGAGCAAACACAATCCCACAAAGACTTTGAACACGACCTATGTTCAAACTGATACCTGGAGATGTGAGACTAAGTCGAGGGCTGTGCTGACCACTTCAGAGGGTAGGTTACCATGTCTTCTATGATGATTCCATTATAATCCTTACATCTCTTAGGTCTAACCATTGTGGCTTGCCCACTGAGTCCGGACTCGAGTGCCTATGAATTTGTGGAGATCTTCAGTTCCGGTTGGAATGAAAGGCCCAATTTTGCGATTGTCAATCGATCCCGAGCCATCAGCGTGGAGTTCCTGCGACCTGGCAATGGAGAGTACTCCTTCAACTGGATGGAACTGATTCCCAGGCCCACGCTCAGCATGGCTGGTGAGTTTACTAGGCCATCTTGATTTAAATGGAGTCTAATTTAATCCAATTTCGCAGAGGACTGTCAGTTTAAGTGCGCCGAGCTGGGGGCCTGTGTGAACGCCAGTGTCTGGTGCGATGGCGTAGTCCATTGCCCATCAGGCGATGATGAGACCTTCCTGCAGTGCTCGGCCCTGATGAAACTGCCCGCCGAGATCCTGGCCACCCTCTGCCTCATCTTTGTGCTCTCGTGTTGTGCTTTCGCTGCCTTTGCTTACAAGTAAGTGGTTTTATTCTTTATCCAGTGGTCACCAGCAGAAGCAGAGGATGTTGGTGACCACCTCTTTTAATTCTCTGAATATTTTAATATTCACAAATATTATTTTATAACTACCCAGAAAAATCAAACGCAAGCTGCGCGGCTCCTCGGTGCTGCAGACGCGACTCAAATCGCTCAGCTCGATGGACACGGCCGTTCTGGATGAAAAGGAGGTGATTTGCTGACAAAGCGACAATTCTGTGCGTTACGTGGAGATCGACCGTGTGACCACGGTCTGATGCTCGACGGCCAGTAACGTGCAGAATTGTGCCCCGGAACAGAATCAGAATCAGATACAGATACTGACACCAGAATCGGCACCACAAGCCAACCAAGAAAGACAGAAACCACAATTACAACTGACGCGAATGCGAAACGCAACAATGAAACGATCAAAAGAAAAGGCAACTCTTTTTCGAAATCAAAAACCAAAAACCAGAATCAAAATCGTTCACCTGTTTTTTAAACTGCATTTATATGAGAGCGAATCGCAGGATTTTGTTGATTCTATTTGTATTATCCTCTATTTTATAGATCGCAAGACTCGTGTTCTCCGTTTTTTTTTTAACTTAGTGTGTCGCGCAATTTTATAAGCAATTTTCTAGGCCTAGGGTTTTTCGTATGTATTTTCGATATGATTTCCCAAACTCGACCCGCAAAACACAAGATCACACACTGTACATACTAACGATTGCGTAACACGGAAGGACGAGGACCAGAAATCGGACAGATCTGACCATTTAAAACTTCCACTAGGTTCGTGTCTTTGGTTCTTACAGAGTACTCGTAGACCTATGTAGATACAACTGTTTCCTAATAGCCTTTAAGTGTATCGTACTATGCTAATCAAAACCGACTAAATGGAGAGGAAGATGATGAAAGCGAGTTCAGAAGGGTTAGTTTTTTGGGGAATGTTTCAGAAACTCCCACAGCATTTATTATGCGGCGCACAAAAAAAAGAAAACAGAAAGAAAAGATTAATCAAATGAAATAAAATAAATAGTAAAAATCAAAAGGAGCAAGCGAATGGAAGGGCGACGATTAATCGACAATTCCGAGAGTAGATCGTAAGTGGAACATGTTTTACATTTTAAGATTGATGGATGCATCGTAAACGTAATATAGTCGCCAGAGGGACGCGGTGGTTAGTCGAATATGTCAATATACATAGAAGCTAGATGAATTCGTTAGTTGTTTAATAGACGTTGTAGTGATCATGGATAATATCAGCATAATCAAAGCTAAATCAAGCCAACAATTTAGAGGTATCTCGTCGTATTCAAAGTACTCAAAAAAAAACCCAGTCGAATCGAACCGATTCGAATCGAATCGAAGTCATTCAGTCAGCTCACGCCCATTGTTGTTAATGTTGTTGTCTCCAAAGTGCACAGTTCGCTTCATGCCACATCATCTAGCGCCTGCTCCCTCACCACCAAACCAACCAAATCAAATCAGATAATCAAATCAAAACCAAACCAATCTTTGCATGGTAATCCTCGTTTGTTGGCTCTGGGCTCAATGGCAGCTGACTTAATCGAATCCTTTTCTATTTTGTATTCTCTCTTTGAACATCCCTTTTGTGTCGAAGAAAAAACCCGTCGTTGAGACCAAGATCTAAGGCTCGGGGATCAAAGCAAAGCAAAATGCCCGGCCTGGCCAAAATGGAGGGAGCAGGGATCAGGGACTCCGAAAAGACAACACAGCAGAGTGTGTGAATCAGTCGAAATGATATTTTTGTTGATGCTCTTCTTTCTTTTAAGAACTGTAAATAAAACAAATAGAAGCTGTATGATATTAACAATTTTACATTGAGCGTTTTATTTTCCATTATCATGTACTACTACTCAGTTGCACTCTCAAATAGTGAACATGTTTTGATATTCGAATCAAACTCAGACAATAAACGTTAAAATCTATTCTTTTGTAACACGGTGGTAACTTATTTCCAATACTATAGCGAACAGGAGGTGCATAATTTTTAGGAACCGCCAGATCACTTGATCTGCGATCTCCGGCAGCTGATTGCATTCAAGCGTAAAGTAAATAGTTATATTAAACCAAACGTAAAGCTCAACTACTAAACTAATGAAATCAAATTAAATATTAAACAACTTAACAAGTTATTAGCGAAACTGCCCAAATGAATAAAATTGAGAACATTTCTGTCGTAACCTAGATTAAAGAGCGCTGATCTTGAAACCGAACTGAAACCGGATGATTGCCGCCAGCAGAGTAGATTTTTAAATTTTAAATTAGTTTAAAGAAAAACCTAACTGATAAATAAATCGGAACGTGGTAAACCAGCATGACTAAATAATTCGAATGTTGCAAAAAAATCATATCAGATTCTAAAATGATATTAAAATTAAATGGAAAAACTGAACAACTTAATAAACAAGCATTTAAATCCCCAAACAAACTGCATGAGAACATTATTTTATACAAAACTCTTTACAGCGCATTGGACATGCCCACATTCAACAAACTAAATTGTAAATGAAAACATAGTTATATGAAATAAATATACACAACAAAAATAACTTACTATAAATCCATGAAATAAAAGATCGATCGAGTAATTTCACGTTCTATAATATTAATCCTTTAAGTATGTGGGGAATTGAGTGTCCTCGGAAGGTGGAGCTGGTATGGTTACGCCACCTGTATCGACAGCTGGTTCATGAGGCAATGAATCCACGCTCTCCAGTGGCATAAAACAGTCAGCTGATATCTACAAACACATGGAAGTTGAGCTAACTATTTCTTGAGATAATAGGATACCTACCTCTCCGTTCTTGTCGCCAAGCTTGCGAGGATACTTAAAACCAGCGGCACGCGAGGCATCCATGGAGTCCTCGCAGTTCGTGATCAAGCCCTGCCGATGATCCTGCTTGTGGGCTTGCAACCGCTCGGCATTTATGGAAGTAAAGCTACAGAGATCACAGCATAAGTCTTTATAAGCTTCGGCATGATTGAGGCGCATGTGACGCTTTAGGGCATTGGCCTGGATGCAGTAGTAATCGCATTGGCTGCACTTTAGACTGCTCTTGTCCTGGCTATCGTGTCGCTGGCGGTGTTTGTGCAGGACACTGGGATCGCGAGTGGAAAACTTGCACTCGCCGCACTGCAGGGGCTTCTCGCCTGTGTGCTGACGCATGTGGATCTAGGAAAAATGATTAAATAGTATTGTGCACTATCTGCAATAAGTCTTATCATAACATACTATCAAACTAGCCTTGCGCGCCGTCTTCTTGCCACACACATTGCAGATAAATGGCTTGATTTTGTTGTGCACCGTTTTGATATGCTTGGAGAGAGTTTTGCCATTGACGAAGTTGCGTTGGCAAATCTCACAGGTCTTCTCCGCATAGTATTTGTTCTTTTTGGAGGCGGGAGGAGGAGCTGCTGGTTGTGGGGCAATCTCCCCGGCCTGCTCCTTGAGTTTTCTCCTCCGCTGAACGGCGGCCAACGAGCGCAGTACCCGCGGTCGCCACTTTTTGTGGACCTGCATGTGTCGCCACACCAGGGCGGAAGTTGGTGACTTGTACTGGCAATCGACGGCGGGACACTCCAGTAGATCCACGTCCACCTGGTGGGCTTTCCACAGATGAGCCGAGCATCGCCGCCAGTTGGGCAGCTCTATACCGCATTCGCAGCAGGAGAAATTGCCGCCCTTGTGGCAACTTGAGTGCAGCTCCATCTTGCCAGCATCCTGGAACTTGAAGGAACACTCTCTGCCGAAGGAGCACCTTTGGAAAATGGAGATTTGGTTAAGGGTTTCTTGTGATTTACAGGCTAAACTTACGGTTCTAGCATATTGGCCCTCAAGACCAGTCGAAAATCCTTAAAGGGCATGGGCTGCATCTCACTTGGCGTTGGCTTGGAGTCCTCCAATTCCTGATCCATGGTTTGTTTATCCTGGCCATTCCTGCCGGCTGGAGTTTGTTGTTTGATGGAAGTCTTTGCTGCTTTTCGTTTGCCGTTGGGCACCGAAATGGGCTCGTAGCCATGGAAGTACACCAAATGTCCCCGGAGATCCTCCTGGAGATCATATTGGCGCAGGCACAGGCTGCACACATAAACAATTCGCGGTGAATTATCCATTTTTTATAAAACTCTTCATTTTTCGTTAAACAGAACAGAACCACTTGTGGTTATCGTCTTGTTATCGGGACTAGAGATGATAGTTCCCAACAGCGACTATCGAAATTTGAATTCATGATTATTTTCAGATCACTTACCGTAATGATTGCTTAGAATGTGATATTGTGCAGTAAGCTGTAAACCAAGCTTAATTAAGTATAGCTAAATTAAATTTAAAAGCAACAAGTTGCTTTCGTTTTTAAATCACGCGCCTGATCCGCGTAAATTTAGTACTACTTAACAGTGATGGGTAACGTGAACGTTGCCCGGCGGTCTAAAACCCAGAGTTGGAAAACGACGGTTGGCAGGAAAAACAAGAACTATCGATGAAAAATCGGTTTTAGTTCCACCTCTAATTCGTCGTCAATTTTGTTTTTCGCGAAATTAATTTTTCGCATTTTCGCAAATTAATAGGCCAAAAAGTAGTCTCGGAGTTACCTAAAATGGGCAGCGCGCTGGAAAACTATGTAAATCAGGTGCGCACGCTGAGTGCATCCGGTAAGTTGGCCAACCGGCGATCAGCAAGCCCCCAAAGAGCGGTCTCGCCGCCGCCTTTGTTTTGATATTTATGCGAATTTCGCCGGGCTTTTTATCCCAGGAAGCTACCGGGAGCTCGCCGAGGAGCTGCCGGAGTCGCTGTCGCTGCTGGCCCGCAACTGGAGCATCCTGGACAACGTGCTGGAGACGCTCGACATGCAGCAGCACTCACTGGGCGTGCTCTATGTGCTCCTGGCCAAGCTGCACAGTGCGTCCACCGCGAATCCGGAGCCGGTGCAGCTCATCCAGCTGATGAGGGACTTTGTGCAGCGCAACACTGTGGAGCAACTGCGGTTTGCCGTCTGCGCCTGTGGGTTACAATCCCATCTATCCAATGAGCACCCTTAAATTAACTCTATGTTCTGTACGCAGTCTATGAAACATGCCATCTGTTCACCGAGTTTGTGGTGCAAAAGAACCTCAGCATCCTGGGCATACGCATCCTTTCGCGCGCCATTGACCAGATCCGACAACTGGACACCCAGCTAACGCCCATCCATGCCGATCTCTGCCTGCTCAGCCTCAAGGCGAAAAACTTTAGCGTGGTGCTGCCCTATTTGGATGCGGACATCACTGACATCTCCACCGTGGCCGCCGAGTGCAAGACGCAGCAGCAGCAGCAGTCCCAGCACACGGTAGTTGGGTTTAAAGTCCCCTCTAGAACTTTATTAACCAATGTTTCCCCTTTTTAGGATGCCAACAACGATGCCAAGTACTTCTTGCTGTACTACTACTACGGCGGCATGATCTACACGGCGGTTAAGAACTACGAGCGTGCTCTGTACTTCTTCGAAGTCTGTGTCACCACACCGGCCATGGCCATGTCGCACATCATGCTGGAGGCATACAAAAAGTTTCTCATGGTTTCACTCATCGTCGAGGGCAAGGTGAGCTTGCTAGCAATTTAGATCCATCCACATATCAGCCTACTAATATTGTAATCTGTCGGTTGCAGATAGCGTATATACCAAAAAACTCACAGGTCATTGGCCGTTTTATGAAGCCGATGGCCAACCACTATCACGACCTGGTCAATGTGTACGCGAATTCGTCCAGCGAAGAGCTGCGCATTATCATACTCAAGTACAGTGAAGCATTTACACGTGATAACAATATGGGACTGGCCAAGCAGGCAAGTATTCCGAATGGGTTACATGATTCAAATAATAGATTACAATTTTTTTAATGAAAGCTTCTAACACTTGTAGGTTAAATAACTTATTTTTTAAAACAAAAGTCTATTTAAGTCCCTTGTTCTCTCACACTCGAAAAACCTTTTTTCTTAAAGATCAAAGAAAAACAAAGGAATATAGAAAATCAAAAAGAAAATTATAAGTATAACGCGCATATACATTTTTTCAAGGTGAAACAGTGCCATAAACCAATATCTTTATACCTTGTCGTTTCAAATAAAGAGAATATTTAAATTGATGCGGAAGTTTCGCCAAAATTAATTCGGCCAACATCAACAAAATTTCCGGTCGCACTGATAAATTCAGGGGTTTTGCTTAATACAACAATAAATTATTTGTTTATACTTAAATTAAATTATAAATTATAACATTTTGTAATTTTTAGGTAGCAACCTCCTTGTACAAGCGGAACATTCAGCGACTAACGAAAACATTTTTGACCCTTTCCCTGAGCGATGTGGCCAGTCGTGTTCAGCTGTCCAGCGCAGTCGAAGCAGAGCGTTACATCCTCAACATGGTAAGTAATTCCGATATATTTCTCACTTTAATTACAATCATTATATATCCAACTGTAGATCAAGTCGGGTGAAATCTATGCCAGCATCAATCAAAAGGACGGCATGGTGTTGTTCAAAGACGATCCGGAGAAATACAACTCACCGGACATGTTCCTCAACGTGCAAAACAACATAACCCATGTCCTGGATCAAGTTAGGCAGATCAACAAAATGGAGGAGGAGATTATATTAAATCCAATGGTATGTTTTGCACTTGAAATACATTTTATTCCTTATTCGTAATAATCTCCTTTTGCAGTATGTGAAAAAGGCTCTTGGCAGCCAGGATGATGACCTAACGTCCCAGCATCCAAAGACTTTCTCGGGGTGAGTTGTTGAAAAAACACAAACCAAGAATAGTTAATAAAATTCTCTCCCTTACAGCGATCCCACAGATTGATGATAACACCGCCGCAGATCCACCACCAGCAGCCTGCTGCTATCATTTCTACGCTCATCCAATCCCCAACACCGTTTACCACATCTTGTCGCAGCTGCGAGGCCCAGGGCCCGAAGGCTGAGGACTCCCGCAGTCCGAACTCATCCAGCTACCACAACAACAAACTGCGCTCTAATTGCAAATTTATAGATGAACATGCTATTTTAAATAAACTATGTATAAATCTATGACTAAGTCAGGGGTTCCTTATCACCCATGTGATTGACTCACAATTTATACGTCTCGATACTGCATCGATAAGGCTGTTGTGCCTTTTCTACGCATCGATCAGGCCACATTTACCGTCCCGACCGGTTAAGTGCTTTGTACTTGCCCCCAATCTACCTTAATTGCCGTTCCAGCTATCGTTCAAGTTACTTTATTTACAATATCAATGTACATGTAACCTAACCTTAGGGCAAAAAATGAACAATTAATTGACTAGAGGACCAGCGCGTTAAATGTAGCTAATTTCTACTCGTAAGCCTAGTTTCGTGCATTTAGATCTAATTGCTTTTATGTTTTTATATACTATATGTATATCAACAGGCGTCTAGATTTGTGGCTCGAGCGAGTGGGTGGTGTGCAGCTGGCGTTTCTCGTACTTCGCTCCAATCGCCCGAATTAAAACCGGAGCTCCGACATCCGACTGAGATTCTCGCCACCAGTCTTCTCTCGCAGCCAGCTGCGCTGCACCCCATCCATCCTAACCGGTTTTCATGGCGTCTAGCTCCATGATGGAGGTCTTCAGCGGCTGGGCGGCGGCGGAGGAGGCGGAGGCGATAGGAACCGATGATAACTCGCTGCTGGAGCTGCGATACAACAGCTTGTGGACCACATTGACCAGTATGAAGCACAAAATCAGCACTAGCAGCGACATAAAGACGTAGGCCAAGACCAGCGGTGTGTCCGAAATGGGATCCAGCATGATGAAGATCGGTTTTTGCATATATGTACGATGTGTGTTTCAAAAATTTTTGTTACTTTTGACTTTGTACTCGCTTCCCCGTAAAGAAATGTGGATGAGTGTAGGTCCAAAACAACAGACAGCTCAGGTTCAGGTAAAGAGACGACGGGTCGCAACGCGTATGTTAATTAGCCACTCGATAGCATATATAGCATTTGTATGATATTCTGGAATTGTGACCGCGTCGGCGTTTCGTGTGTATGTCGCTTGACACCTGCCCGAGAACTGAAACGAGCCGAGAGCGCTAAATGAATGGAACTTTGCTTGGCATTACGTATACGCTTCGTTGCCAGACTGTTGTTCGTCCAGTTTGGTTTCTTCTCTTTTCGTTTTTGGTCGTCTTGATAAGCCTCTTGTGCAATAGAATCTGTAACTTGGGCCGAGATTAGAAAAGTTTTCCAGTTTGGAGATTGGAGTTCCGTTCGATTGGGAGCCGCTTTTCACATCTGGCAACTTTTCGAGAACCAGCTACATTTATAGCTCATGGAGTGGGGAATTCCAGTCGAATTCATATTCGCCTTGCAATCAAATCAAAAACGCTGCCTTCTTAATTGGCCCCATCAATAAAGAATGAAATGGCGTCAAGCGAATTGCTTGGGGTCTCTCGCGTCGGCGAGATCTGTTTGGGGGGCTAGTGATTTCGGCAATTGGGCATGATAGCCCGGTCTGGAGAGCTCTTTATCTACTGATAAGGAATACCACAGTCGACATGATAAGCCTCAAAAAACACGGGCCACACAAATTAAGATTGTGGGTCATGGGAGTGGGCATAAATTATATCTTTCTTTGAATATACAGGAAGTTAGGATCTTAAAAAATAAAAATAAATAATGAAACTCACCAAGATTTTACTTATTAGTAAACACTATCAAAAATTATAAGATTAAAATATTTTAAAAAAATTTTTTAAAGCTCCTATAAAGGTTCTTTATATGATCTCAAATGAATTGCTTGGCCTTTTTAATTACCGGTAACTTCTAGAATTGTTAACAATATCTATCCTTTTATAGCTAAACACTAAAAATTTTAATGAAACGTGACTAACTTCATCAGCATTCCAACAAATACCTAATCAGTTGTAGATTTCAGATTTGTTTCGGCTATGGATTGATATAGATTTGTTCCGGGAAATGCTGTTGGGAATGTTGATTTGTTTATTATGCCATTAAATTCGCAATAATAACTTAATTTTAGATTACACAAGGTATAAGCCTTGTTAATCTTTCATGCTTTCAATTAATAGAGGGGGTCTAAAAAACTTTTTTAAAACTTATAAAATACGGAAACAATTCCTAACTACTTTGAAAACTTAAAAATCCCGGAGAGGGAAACTTTAACCCCTGCTAGCAAACATACGCACGCCCCTGTTCCGCTGACTTTCACCTTCGTTGTCACGCGATTCCCATAAGCTGGCGTGAGCTCAGCGCCCGACCCACTGACCCACCCGTCGACCGTGGGCCTCCACCCCATTGATCTTTATATACAATTTAATAAAACGAGTTATACCACATTAAGGCATTCTATGGCTATATAGACGGCCTATCACCCCCTATTATCCAACACCCGCTTAATCCGGTAGCCGGGAGTTCCGACGCGAGCCCACAGGTCGACAGGCAGCGGCGTTATCCGTGCACTGGGCATCCTGGCTTTCCTTGGCCTCCTGGATCACATCTTCCAGGGTCAACTGCGCCCGGCTGTCCAGCCTCGGTTCCGGCCGCCTTTGGTTGCACTTCAGCATGACCTTGAGCCGCGGGATCTTGGAGAGGTGGTCAAAGAACCGGACTATGTGCACGGATCCCGAAGGCCTTGGTTCTGCGGCAGCACACACGGGCCCATCCCGGCAGTTGCACAAGAAACTGATGGCCTTGCGGCTTGAACTCACATCGAACTCGGCGCTGACTAGGTAGCAGGGCTCCAGGGAGAGCACTATGCGCAGGACTAGAGGGAAAGAGAACCCGGGAGGAAGAGCTTGCCGAGCAAGAGACGCACTGGCACAAGGCTTACCCGACGAGGACTCCAGGATCTGCGACCGGTTCTGGATCCAAACGGAGCGCAGGCTGGGCTGATTGGAGCGCGGATTGCGGAGCGAGCCGTCCAGGTATTCCCGCATGGTCGTCGCATGGTTGGAGTGACGCAATCCCAGGAGCTGTTGACGTGAAGTTCCGGGCAGGGCGGCCAGCGGCAGGTTGTCGTACACAGACACGTAGATCTTGTGGCTTATATAGACCACCACGAAGCACAGGATGACGATGAGCAGTCCGATCAGCAGGTAAGTGAAGAGTGTGGGTATAAAGAAGATGGCGTCCAGAAACATGGGGCCGTCGAACCGGAAGTGCTAGCTCACTGACAGGATACGCAAATCTACAGAGAGGGTTTCGGGAATCCATGGGAGGAGCTTCGGTTCTCTTGATTTTTGCAACATCTATGTAAATGTATTTATTTCTCAGTTTCTTTTTTGTATTTTTTTGTTCATTTTTTTTCTGGTTGGTTTTCTTGTCAGTTTTTTATAGATTTCTGCCTTGTTTTTTTGTTTTTACATACGATTTTACATTGATAATATTAGGCTTTTAATTTAATTGTATTCCACTCGATCTCCACTGCCTGCATTTCGGTTTAAAGTTAATCTTAGCATGCCCTTCTTATTCCTTGCCATTTTATTTTATTTTGTTTTTCATTTCTAACCCGCCGGCGGGTTCCTTCGACGCCCAAATGGGCGTGGTCTGCACACGGCGCAGACCCCTTACAAATTTCCTAGGCTCAACCTTTTGCATTTTGCACATTTACTAACAATGTGTCATAGCTCAAAAATCAATGCAGTTTTTTATACTTCTGGGTATTCTGTAAACTTGTCAAAATTTTAGCTTTTTGTCTCCGCTTTAATGCATTTTGAAAATCGCTTTTTTGAGTTATGACTTTCTCTTCAAGTAAATTGGCGATTTGTGTGTGAAAGTGGCTGGATGAGTGTGTGTGTGTGTGATGTAGCAACAGCTAAAGATAATGGTCTGTCGAGCAGATATAAGCTTTACAAATATATACACACAATTTGTTTTGTTGGCTGCTTTTTTTCTGAGTGTTGTAAATGCAACTTCTCGTTTGGGTAATATTAGTTCACACAGATACACACGCACACTCACCCAACACACACGCACACACCCAGACCCTGCGATTTAATATAGATTTTAAATTCTTGTAAAGTTATCTTCTCGTTAGCTGGCAGTTGTTGGAAATGCCTAGTACATCAGTTTCGAAACTTTAGAGGTATTCCAAGAATTAAGTTTGCTCTGATGAAATTTTCTATAAACGGAAATGATTAAATTAAATTTTTTAAATCTACTTCTTGAAACCAAAAACTGGAAATTATTGATCTTATAAATTCCAATTTATCTTATATTGAACAAAATTTAAATAATTACAAATCGGTTTCTCGTAAACCCAGAAAACATTTTTTAAAAAACAATTCCAAAACTGGAATACCTCTTGAATAACAGTTCAAACCAGGCATTCGCTGTGCTCAAGCTTAAATTAGTCATTAAAGAAATCATAAAACTAGGTTAAGATTACGAAACACCGTTCGATGAAGAAACAAGAAACATGTGGAAAAATCATGAAACTCTCAATGATTTTAATATTTAATTAAATAGTTTCTGACTCGCTGACTTCATGTGCTACGCGTTTACGTTTAAATATAATTTACTAAAATTAAAATTAAAATGGTTAATTAATTGCTGCCTTTGTGTTTTTGTTCTAGACACAAAATAACGAATCAAACAAGCGAAATACAATTTTCTCATTCCTTTCCTATTTTTTCCATGACTTCATGCCTCGTATGAGAGTGTGTGAGTTCGTGTGTCTGTGTTTTGTGCCTGTGTGTGTTGCCATTTTTGTATGATTTTATTTATTACACATATATTCATCTTCTTTATTTTTTGTGTTAAAAAACATTCAGATGTCTGTTGGATATTTAATGAAACGTTTTTTTTGGGGGGAGGCAGCATGTTCCATAAGTTATACAAAGAGGTTTCTGCTTCTGTGTTTTCGAAAAGGAGCCAAAGAACTTGATAGAAGTTTAGAGAAATATATAGATTAAAGCCTGGGGAAAACTATCTCCGAAATCGGGGGTTGCGGGGTGGGGAACATGCCGCCGCAACCTTTGCACAGAGACACACACATACACAATTATGTAACTTCAGCACAACATACAGAATCAGATAATTAACATTTTTTTGGCCCTCAGCCCCACCCACGCATTCTGAATCTCGGCCAGAATCGGGAACTCCATGGCTTTGTGGCAATTAACTTTACACACTTATATAGTTTTCGGTTTCTTGTTTATGCTGCTGAGCGTTTGTTGTTTTTTCAATTTCTATCCACCTATTTCTCATCGTCTTCAATTGTTGATTTAGACGTTCGCTGCGTTGTTGTTTTGTTTGTTTTGTCGGTTGTTGTTCTGCTGCCGCTCTGCTTTCTGCTTTCTCCTTGTTGTTGATTTGCTGTAGTGGTTGTTGTCGTTGTTGCTGACTTAAACGGACAACGACACAAAACTGTTATACTGCGTGATGTTGCGTTTGAGTATGTCGGCGCAGGGTCCCAAAACTCGTTCGAATCTGTAATAAGAAATATAAGTTTTAATGTAACAGTTTCGAAATAGATTTTAAATTTTGGTATGAGGCTATTTCTGACAGATTTATAACATTTCGTGGTATTTTTAAGTGCCAATTTATGATGTTTAATTCAAATACTTAAAATTTACTTTAACATTTTAGCTCTTGACGATTATTACTTAAAAATATATCTCAATTCACATATTGTGCAGTTTTTCTTTTCAAAAAGTAATGAAGATACATTTTCTTCTGTTTCCAACAGCTTTAAGATTCTATAATTTAGAGGCTAAAATAAAATAGTACCTCATAAATATTGGAGTCAAGAGCTAGCACTTTTTTCCCCTAAGTAAAATCGCTGCCTTTTTAAGGCCAGCTATTAACAAGATAACTTCTTAATTTTCCCCAGTTTAAAAAGCTGCTTCCACCGATCCACCCTACTCACCTCGCCCGGTCCAGTTTGACGCACTTGAGCGGCCCGCGGGCCACGACGGTCGCCGCCCGTGGTCGGTCCAAGAGCAGAGCAATCTCGCCAAAGTAATCGCTGCTACCGAGACGGCCCACCTCGGCGGGTTCCTCGCCCTGCTGATAAGATACAAGATTTGATTACTATCTACCCAGGTGTGACAGCTATAATCTCGGTCACTCACCTCGGAACGCTGCTGGAGAACAACCGCACATCCCTCGAGGATTATGTAGAAATCATCGCCAGCGGCTCCTTGCTTGACAATCGTCTCGCCATCATCGAAAGAGCATGTCTCCAGGGAATCGGCCACTGTCAGGCGCTCCCATTTGTCCAGGCTCTCCAGAATGGAGACGCGCGACAAGAACTCCTCGTACATCTTGCGCTTGCGGATGGTCGAACCCATCAGGATGCGGCGGTAGGAGTCGCGGTCGATGCCCCACAGCTTCACATCGGTCTTGGCCCGCACGGTGGCGGCGCGTGGAGTGCCGTAGATGAGGGCCAGTTCGCCAAAGCTGCCGCCCTCGCTGATGGTGGTCACCAGTTCGGAGTTGACAAAGACCTAAACGATAAGAAAATAAATTAGTATTCAAAATTAAAGTATTAGTAAACCCCCTAAGATACTCACATCGACCTCGCCCACATCGATCACGTAGAAATTATCGCCCTCATCGCCCTGCTGGATGATATTCTCGCCGGCAATGTGATTCACGGGGAACATGGCATCAAATATATCGGATCGCTCGCTCTCATCCAAGTGGGCGAAAAGGACGTTCTTGGCAATCGCCTTGGACAGGGCGTTCATTGTCTTGTAGTCCTTGGGCACCACCTTCTTCACATAGTTGGCGGCATCCTCCTCGGTGACGGGCTCGGCGGAGATTCCACCGCGCCGGCGAACCGGTGGAGCAGCTGTCTGTGGCATCGGGCTGAGATCTTCGCAGTCGTCGGGGCTGATTACCTGTCTACTGGCATCCAGTTTGACTTGTTCCTGCGAAGATAAAAATAACCAATATGATGAGTATTTTGGGTTTGGTTTATGGCACACAAGTCACGGTTCATTATATTAGGGGTTTATCATTTTATCAGAGCCTCTAAGTAAAGAAAAATATGATGTTGTATATTTTGTAGACCAAGAACAATTATAAGAGTATAAATGCAACATGTTGAAGGTTAAAGGTTAATATTTCCCCTCCCCCTCACTTTATGGAACTTTGGAAACAGGAATGATTAAATCGCTGTGGGAGTTGACTTTCAAGCTGCGTCTAATAGCCAGATTAATGTGCGTCACTCTCAATGGATCTATGGGAACTGCAACCAGTGGTTGTTTTCTGCAGCATTTTGTGCATTTTTCCGGAGATGCGTCGCACCCGGGAAAGCTCCACCCGCCCACATCCGCCACTCATAAGCTCCATTACCGCGTCGGGAATCAAAAGAGCCGAAACGGGGAGCTAAAGAGCTTTACATCCTGACTTTTGCTGCGCATTCCGATGCCTCGGGCGTCCCTATGCAAATCCCGAGCTACTCCCACCCAAAAGCTGCACTGTCCAGCTGCCCAATTGCAGTCCGTTTCCCATCGTGACGTCAAACCAGTCGAGCAGAAATGGCCAGCTGCCCCAAGATGCTGATTAAGTTGCATTAAATTGTCACTCAACGTGACTGCAAGTGGCGGTTATGGCAGCAATTGAAATGCGTTAGGATCAGTGCCCTATAAATAGGCTGGTCTACTTGAAGATATCTCGCAGGCACCCAGCATTTTGGGTAGCCAAAACGGACAGTATCTGGATTAAATGTGATGTTGAATATCAAAACTAATGGATGTTATGCATGGGGGCTTTCTAGATTGAGAACTATTGAGCAAAACAAGCCTTTAATATTTATTTTACTATTCTACTAATGCTCATGGTTATAAAGACTGATGTTCTTGAACACCTGAAATCATTCGTAGCTAAAGAACATTTATTTATTCTTAAATATAGTTTCCAAACACCTAGGGTATTACCCGAATATTCTTCATGGCCTAATCAAAAAACCAAGATCACACTTAAAATAAAAATAATTGCACTTGATTTGATTCTCCCAAACCAACCGCAAACTCTTAAACGAAATTATTTTACCAGCCAGCCATAAACATAGTCGTGCCCCGCAATGAACTTCAAATGAACGACGCTGCTCATTAATTTTTATTGTCTAAACAATTGTGTATTATAGCAAGCCAAAAATCGCATCAAGTACGCAGAAATAGGGTAAACAAGGCGGTGGGCGAAAAAAAAAGAGTGGGAAAATAAAAACAAAGAACCACAATTAATCGGTGAGCCAAGCAATTTGCCAGCCGATCATGGATTGTAGATGACGATAGCGAACTACTCAATGAATTCCCCCGGTTCCGAATGTCGCCTCCATCGATTGACGGAGCTCTTGGGTGGCTGCCAGTCAGCTGAAGGAACCTGAAGTCAGGTGTCAAAACAGAAGATAATCGAGTGCTGCCGCCCAAAAGCAAAAACGTTTGGCATACAAATGTCTGTTAATTAAGCAGAGTAAAGTCAGGCTTATTCGCTGAGGATTTGTTTGCACAATTTCCAAATAAAAGCTATAAAATTCTAGAATATTTGTTAGAATTAACAATCTAAATACAAAAGCAGCGAAACGAACTTGTATCTCTAGTTACTGGACTATATATTATTTATGGATGTATGCAATAACGCCCATTCGGTCTATAATTTTAAAATGTGTGATATTTATTATTATTAAAAGAAAAAGATTAAATAAAAATTCTAGCTTTTTGTTCTTTAAAGAAAATAAACTCTTTAGAATTTTGTAAAGCTTACTCTCTTTAGATTTCTGTGATAGAAAAGTAAATATTTATGTTTTTAAATCAGTAATATAATTTGTGCATTAACCATAGACTTTATGAACTGCAAAGTTGAATGAATAATTCCCAATAAGCCAAGTTCAGAGCTGCCAAGTATGTAAATTGCATACTCTAGTTTATCATGCAGTCAGCTTACTGGGTGGCAGTATCAAAACATCCCCACCCCCCTCGTTTTGCATTTGCAAAAGTTTGCAACTTTGTTTATGGCCATTTAGTCAGGGACAGGGCCCAGAACGGAGAACGGAGAACCGAGAGCCCAGAACCCAGAGCCCGGCACTTGGAGAGGCGCGTGTGGCAGCGATATGACCGTGACCTTTGTGCAGACGCGGAGTCGGCGCCCAGTCGACTTATGGCCCTGGCCCTGGCCATGGACATGGCCATGAAGCACCCGACAACCAACAACCAGCAACCCACGACCAACCCTCCGGCCCACCCATAAACCAACCACTCTCATCTCACCCTTTGACCCCCCGATTTTCCTCGCGATTTTCCCGGGCGGAGCTGCGCGGCTCTCAGCTTTTGGTGACGTTCCCTGTGTCATATTAAACGGAAATCGATTTCGCATTGCAAATTGAATCCAATCCCCGCCCGGATGGGCTGACTTTGCGGTCTCGCCCCGCCTGATTGGATGGTGTTCGCTCAGTCGTTCATTCGGTTATTCGTTCGCCTTCCACGTTCAGGGGCCCTGACTTTAAAGTGGAGTCTTGTCACCAGTCCCGCCTTATCAACGAGCTCGCTAATAAAACAGCGAACAACATTTATGGGAATCATGACAAATGCAGGTCTTGATTAGATGACGACAATTGGCGGGACAAGGTGGGGCCCTGTGCGAAGGGTGGGCCAAGTTGTGGTGACGGTTCGGTAATGAAGACTAATTACCCCACATTTTCACCTATTACGAAATCAATTATGTTTAACAATCTAGTAGGGCTGCCAACAGAGCGGTTAACAAGGTGTATCTTAAAAAACATTAGAAAAATGCTTTATTTTGTGTTTTAAGAAACTTTAGGGTCTTTAAAAAGTTAAAAATTACCAATATAAATAGTTTTCTTTAAACTAGTATGTCCCTTTAATCAATTCACTTAAGTGAATAATCAGAAATAAGACATGCAAAATAAGGTATACAAAATCTAAAATGAACCCTGTACAAGTATTATTATAATTTGCCGACAATAACAAGGGAAACCCATAGTATAGGATCTATAAACTACAGCTGTGAATACATTCCTCAAACTAACGAATGACCGATAAATATTTTTATGATTATTCACATATGGGAATAGAGGAATTCCGAAAAATGTTTTCAATTGTACAATTGTTTCTATATTCATATATGTCACACTTAAACAGCTAATGGTGTACGAAAATATTATTTTAAATTCCATTTTCCAGATGATGTAAATAATTGTAATGTGTTTTTCCTGCCAATTTGTTTTATATAACAGTACATTAAAAGTTTATTGGTACTATATATAAACAAAGGAGGTTTTAAAAGCTAGTTTTATTGCTCTTATCTGGCTGAAAAGATCTCATAGCGGGGGGTGAAAAAGAAAAAGAATTACCAGAGCGACAATAAAACTCTGATGAGGCGACAAATAGGGCCACATGCTGTGAGGTAGGACCAGAACATATAGTAGGACCCAGAGAACATACGTATGCCATGTAGTGGATACAATGGACATGGCGGCATTGTTGCATCCAATGAGCATGAATAAAAACCAGCGGAGGCGTCGACTTCTGTGGGGGACAAGTCCGCGGAAAAAAAGCAAAAGCGAATGCACACAATTGTGCAACGGAATACTAAATATTTACCTCTATGAGGGTGTTTTTTCTATTATTTTTGTATTTTTTTTTGTTTTTTTTTCTGTTGATGAATGAGCGCTTATTGAATAGACGTACAAACTAGACTTATGGTCTACAAACTATGACAGCCACTAAACAGACTCATTTATTTATGGCAAACCTTAGACATGTTTCTCCTGTGTTGGTGCTAGTGTGAGTGTGTGTGTGTGCTGTGGTGTGTGCTGTGGTGTGTGCCTGTGTGTATCTGTGTGTGAGTTTTTGTTCTTTAGTTATCCGTGTGTTGGTGCTTGTGCTACTTATGTGCAACAAATTGTGAAAACGTCTCGCTTCTAATATGGACACAGAAAAACAAACAACAAACAGTAGTTGAAAAACGCGCGACGTGGGATTTTCTGTAGAAGATCTCAAAGATTTTCACTCTCGGATTTGTAATAATGTTGCTTTGCTGACAAGAAAAACAACAGCAGAAAGGCAAAAAAAACAAGAGCGGACAGAAATATATTATAAAAATATTACGTATACGCGGCGTGGACAGGCGAGCAAAAACAGCCGCCAGCAGCAATGACAAATCCAATGTCAAAGATTGATAAAAATAAATATTTAAGAACGCTACGAACAGCTCTGAAACAATTTTCGGTAAATTGGAAATACTTTTTGGTTTGCCAAAAAACTGATTTTCTAATAAGTAAGCCACTTAAATAATTTTAAAATGGGGACCAAAAAGCTCAAAAATTCTGGGAACTGCTATGTAATTTGTACTTTATTTAAATTTCAAACAAATAATTTTGTTAAAACAGAAAGACAAAGTAAAAGAAAACTCGGCCATCACTGCGTATGATTTATATTTAGGGTTTAAGCAAATTTAAAAAATAAAATACCTTTCTGAATTTCAATTTTTTTTAAATTAGAATATTAGAGCTTGAGTTTTATTTAAGGAATATTTAAAAGTAATGAAATTAGCTCAATTTAAGATTGTTCCCCACTGCGTATGATTGATATTTACGCTATATGGGCTATTAAAAGAAATCGCAGCGAATTTAATTGGCATAAATGAGCAACAACGGCTATGAGATATAAAATTATATAAAAAAGAAATCCTAAAAATATATTTATGAGTTCGTGCGTCACTAGACCCCCGCATTATACACATAAATATTTGATTTAATTTTCCCGCCAGTGTCCAATTTAATTTTGTTCACTTTGCTCCTTCGCTTTTCTGCTGTTTTTCCTGCCATTTATAATTGCTTAATTAATCCAATTGCCAAGGAACACACAGTGTTCTTGTTCTTCTGGCTCAAATGGTTCTTGGTTTTTCTGTTTTTTGTGTTTTTTACGTGTGTTTGTCTACCCGCTGTTTCCGTTTTAATTATTTAGTTGTTGTAAGCTGTTGTTTTTGTTGCAGCAGTCGCGATTTTCCACTCAGCGAATGTCTTTTTTTCGCGTATTTACAAAACGGAGGCGCGACACAAACTGAAAACTCAATTCGAAATTCGCGTTCAACTTGCGACAATCGACGTCGACGTCGCAGTCGGCGCTGGCAGAGGAGCTGCGCCGACGTCGGCAGAGGCAGCGACTGTGGCTTCATCTTTCCACACTAGTTGCCCTCACATGTGTGTGTGCCAGTGTGTGTGTGTGTATGGTTGGGTGGGTGTATCTATGTGTGGTTGGGTGGGTCGGCGATACCGTTATGTGGTATAGGGCTGGTGGATTGCCGACCATTTTGCGGCTTGTGGTAGGTTTTTAAGCGGCTAAAAGATCAAAGATATGCTGGCCAGTAGCCCTAATGTGTGATTACACAGGAAAAAATGTTTAAACTTTTTTAAAATTTCCCTTTTTATATCAAAATTAATTTTCTTTTGAATTTATATTTATCAAAATAGTCAAACTATTATTTAAGCCCAAATTTAAATCATATTAATTTCAATAGACACAATGTTATATTAAGTGTGAAAGTATTAGAAAAAAGGTTAAATCCAATAAATTCAACTACAAGACTAGACCAGAGTTTCTTCTGATCCTGTTAATTTAAAATAGGTCAACAAATATTACAAATTTTAAGCAATTTTATTATTGTATCTCTTTTTAACGTTACTTTTAACGTTAACTGCTAATATTTTTTGCATGTCTATGAAAATATGTAAAATATCAGGAATTCACAAGTTGTACACTATTTTTCTCAATGTATGAATGAAGGTTAGCGAAAAGAGCAAAGTTATAAAAAATAAAAGTAAACAATAAAAGAGGTAGGTGTAATGAGCAACAACAAGAGTATTAATTAAGACCCAATATGACATTGCAAAATTTCAATGCCAAACAAACTTTAAACAAAAAAAATATCGATTTGAAATTATTGTAATGCACTTAAAATATTTTTTCTTACTTCAAAAACTTTACAAATCCTATATTCTATTTAGACAGAAATATAAAAAATTGAAATCTAAATTTTTTTAAACTTTTTACATTATTCATGTGTTAAACTACTTTCATTTATTCCAGTGCAGCCACAAATCGTCCCAGGGCAAACGACTTGGAAGAAAGTAAAAGTCACCACAAGCCCACAGAAAATCATAAGAACAATCCGGCAAATGGAAATCGTACAGAGCAAATACAAACTACAAAGAGCAGCTAATGGCCGCCACAAATTATGCGGCCAAGAGAGATATCTGCTGAAATATGGTAGTACATATGGGAGAATTGGAGGGGATTCTCAGTCTCTCATGTCTCGCAGTGTACACAACACAAATCAATTTGAGCGGCAGTGACAAGAAGACAAGAAAAAATCGCGAACTGAAAAACAAAAAGAAATCCAAAGATTGTAGGCGGCTTTTAAAAACATATATATTTAACCAAGGCAGCGGTGAAAACAAATTTGATTTGCCACACTGGCGATTTATAGTTTCGTGAGCCCATTAAATAAACAAGCAAATTCACTGGCACTCACTTTGATAAATTGTCAATAACAATTACATTAACCTTTATGATTTCGGTATTTGTAGATCAGCAGATTTAATGTCCCGCTGCCACATGGCGTATACGCAATGTGCAAAGGCAAGGGCACAGATTTATGCACTTGAAGCCAGGGGATGCTCTCGTTAGGCGATGAGAACTCGAGGGGTCCGAGAGGCTAAGAACCCTCGATGTCGCCTAGTTGGGATTACCTCTGTGTGGGTGGCTCTGGGGGGAGGCAGTGGAGGAACCTTGAGGCATTGCAGGTGACACGACAGGTTAAGTGTGCCAATTTGTGCAGCGCCTGGAGGAGAAAAACCACTCAAGAGAGTCTAGTGCCGACGACAACTGGCTGCATCTTCCTCCGAGTCCACTGGGAGAGCTGATTTCCCTTCTCATTTCGAGGCATTTCAAATTGCATCTATGTATCTGGTGAGTCAGAAGATATTCTCTTCCGAGCTGGCTGTCTTTTAAATTAAAATGTCTATCAAAAAGACAATTGCATGACATTTTTATATTCCCCTGAGTTTTCTTTCATTCGTTGGGGAAATTGAAATGTATCAGAATTAGTATATGAGTCAGATGTTTAGGAGAATTATAATTTGTAGGAAATTCCGAATGTCGAAATATGTATTGTTAAAAATCAAATCAATTGAGCTTCATTTACTACCCCACTGCAAATTGAGACAAATATTTCATAAAGAAAACGTAACATCTTCTTACATTTCTTCTAAATATATTGTTTTACTCCCCCTCTATTAATATAAGAATTCCTTTAATAAAAATCTATATGTAAATACATAGATGACAATGTCTTTTAAGTAATTTTTCGCTCTAAAGAAATTAATTATGTATAATGAGGGCCTTTAGAACTCTCTCCAGTTGCCTTTTCCATTTTCCGTTGTGGCGCGCTGGCAATTTAAATTCCTTTCAGGACACCAAGCAGAACTCATTAAATGTGGGCCAAGCAAAACATTGGCCATAACTTTCTATCGCCTCACACTTGGATTCACTTTGTCAACGGGCAAAGTTTCCATGGAGCGGAGAAATTCTGCATGTGAACAGGATGCGGGAGTAGGAAATAGCTGCACTAAAATGCGGAAAAGCTTTTTGTCTGCTCGCTTCCTGTTGCTCTTTTCCCCTCCTTACTTTCACCCACCAGGTGTGTGTGTGTGTGACTGCGTTTTATAATCGAATTAATTAAAATTTTGCGCCCTACTTGACGCAGAAAACATCCTTCTCTTTCGCACTCTCGTGTGCTTTGCTCTCGCTTTAAATTTTCCCACTTTATGGCTGAAAAGACCCGTATAAAATAACCGTGCTGCATCCGCTTTTCCATCCGTCCCCCATCCGCTTTTCCGGCGCCTCGAAAGTGGGTTCAGCAAAATTTCCAATTCAGTGAACTTTTTGTTTTTGCCACGCCCACTGGAAAGGCACCACCATCAGTTATGCTGGGCAAAAAGTCCTTTTTGTTAGCGTTGGCCTGCATAAACATTATTTTTGGGGACACACGAAAGGTTGATATACACCCTGCTCGATATTGGGTTATCCATGGGTTATCCAGCTGCCCATTTGATGTCCTGCGAGAAAGGACACGCCACAATCGTCGTCACAGCTGTCAACGAACGGGCGGCCATCCAGCAAATTGACAGCCGAATCCTTCAATGTAACCCAATGACGTCAGTGGGACAAAGGGTTTTCAGGTTTTCCTAAAAGGTATTGTGTTGAATTTTTAATTTGGCAACTGTTGCTCGTCGACTTGGAGCCCTTTTTATTAGCCAAATTATTCATGGACAGCCGGTGGAGGAGCTGCGTTTATAAGCCGCTTTAATGGATCGGTAAACACACAAAAGTTCGCCGCATCCGGCAGATACGGATACGCATTTTGCCAGAAACTTTTCCACAAACACAATGGTTGCAGTCTCTTTTATATATTTTTCTGTTCGTATTATTTACACAAAAGTTTCGATTCCCGATAAATGACGACCCCAACTCAAGCGTAAAATAAACGATAATTTATTTATGCGAAAGAAGAGCAGCTGGAGGTGGAGAAAGGTTTTCTGCAGCGGTGATTATATTACCTCCATGCTACCCAATTATTCACAAAGTTCGATGGCAGGACGAAAATAAGCAAAGCTTATGTGCCAAATTTTTAATTTCCAGAGTATCAAGCATAATCCCCCCGGTATCCAAACATAAATCACTTTCTTCGGCTTCACTTAAAAATATCACAGAAATTGTTTCCGAGCGATGCGAAAGCATAAAAAGGAAATTATTCCTAATAAAAATAACAATTTAATTCAAGGTCAGATTTCATGGGACCATTTTGGCATCTGCATTGTTCACCAGTTAACAGCCACTTAAAATTATAATGGCAAATGCTTTTGCGTCCTGGCTGCCGAAAACAGATAGAATTAAAGCACACATCATTTAATTTATTTGGATTTTAAACACAATGCTGTTAAAAATGAATTAGAGGAAAAGCGTCCATTCATTTCCAAATATAAAACAAAATACACTCTCTTATATAAAGATTGTTTTGCTCAGATTTAAAATTATTTGTTAGGAAGGGTAAATATTTAAGGTAGCTTTCTTCCATTCTTAATTAAAATTTAGAAATGCATATAAGGAAGTTTTGCAGATTCTTTCTTTTTAAAACAAATACCTAATAAACTAAAAAAATAGGGGTACACAGGCGTCGATTTTAGCAATAGGATTAAAATAAGCCACATTTATCTACAAAAAAGGCGCCATTAAATCAAGTCAAGTAAGTCCCTTAGATAGGTATAAAAAACAGGTGACAATACAAATTATTTACCCTGTTAACCGTATTTAACACTTGACAGTTTACCCACCATTTCGCTGGTCAACTTTCTTTCCCTTTTACTTCCGGTTTGTCACTTTTCCTGCCCTCGTTTGGCCAGCAATTGATTGTTGTTTGTTTTTATTTGGACTTTATGGCCCTATTCGGCGGACGGACAAAGTCGGCTGGCGACAAAGTATCCGGCGTAGTTTTTGGCACGATTCGGTTGTTAATCAGAGGCCGGCGAGAAACAGGGCCGGACGGAATGATGACAGCCGTAAAAGCGGCATTAACACGACCGTTAAACCGGACAATTCGATGATCGCTGCGCCGGAAATCGCGTGGCCATCAATCAGGCAGAACGGACCGCAAACGAGGTGAAATGGTAAATGGTAAATAGTAAATTGAGCAGTTAAACTGGCGAAAACTGGCAAAAAGTGAAAGGGACGACGATGGGCAGCTGACGGTGGCCAAAAAGTGACTGAGGCAGCAGAAAGGACGAAAGCAAACTCTCGCAGCCACAGACACACAAATACAATCTCGACGACGACAGGATGACCTTCACCAACACGCACACGCACAAAGGAGAAAGGTTTCCTCCGTACACATATACATGTACGTGTGCGGATGGCCAAAAAGTAAAGTTTTTCGCACACCAACCCACACACATGTACAGTTGTGACGCAGCGGAAGGAAAAGCTTTCGCAGGAGAAAAGGACCCAAAGTGCCAAAAGGCAAAAGCAGCAGTGATTTCGTTGGCGTTCCCTTCGAGTTTCAAGTGCAAACTCGACATTTACTGGCAAAAAGCTACCGCTAGGGAAGGTAACAACATGGAGTACCCTTCTTTTGGGACTATTCAGTAATTAAGATTGATGAATTCATTATAAGCTATGTATTCATTCCAATTTTTAACTTCATTTTAAGGTCTAGAAATCTTTAATTTTATTGGTATAGCTCCACAATGTAATTTATATATAAGGATTTTTAGTGTGGATTACTTCAAAAATGTTTGTTAAATATTATATATAACATAAACATATATATAACATAAACTTTTTATTCTGTTCAAATTATAGAATTTAAACCAAACATAATCAAATTAGCAAATTAGTAATGACACAACTCAAATTATTTTAATTTTTTCAACTGCTACAATATTGGACGATAAATATGCTTCAATATATTTTCCTTTCTTATAGTTTTCTTTAATATTATGGCATACTTTTCGGTACCTTACCAAAGGATTTGCAAAATAAGTGGCGACATTTTAAGAAATTATTCAATTTTATAGAAATATTTTATAGGGTATCAATTCTTTCTACAGCCATACCATACTTGTCCCCTTGTTTTTATTTTTGCCACAACTAACGACATCATAATTTGCAGTAACAAACCGAATCAGCGAAACACACCAACGCAAAATGGAATCAAAGCTTTCCCCATGCGCACACTCCCACACTTTGAATATTTTCCGCCAAAAGCTTTTCCGCACGAAATAGCAAGTCACTTGTTAACCGATACCCGTTACCCGGTACCCGCTAACCGCAAACAGTTTTCCGCTTTTCTGCATTTGACAACTTTCCAACTTACCTCCCGTTCCCGCTCCCGTTCACGCTCACGTTCATTTTCCCGCTCGCGGGCGAGCGTTGAGAGATGCAACTGCAGGCTGCGATCGCTGACGGCATCCTCCTCGGGAATCGTAGTGCAGGATGTGCGGACATGCCGCATCCGATGCACTGCGTCCAAGCTGAGCCGGTGCTCATGATCATCCCGCAGCAGGGCATCGAACATGGCCACTCCGCCGTCGATGCTGCTTTCGCGCAGGATGCGACCACCACGTCCACTGCAATGGGGACTCTGATTGAGCTGCTGATTCTGCTCCTGCTGATGATGATGGTGGTGGGCGGTGGTCACCACGCCCTCCGAAAACGAACGGATGCGCATGGCGCCGTTGGCATCGGTGGTCAGAGCCACCGAGCGGAAACGATCGATGACCGCATCCTGGATGCTATTCACACTCAACTGGTTGCCCATTGTGCGCGGGGGCATAGAAAAAAGTGAGTCAACGAGGAGGACCACGCAGGATGCTTCTGCACGGCGCCAGGATGCTAATCCAACTGACAGCGAGTCCGGCATTCAACAGGCAACGTGCCCCAGAGAGGCGCGCTCACATTCACTTTCGCACCCACATCCAAACTCAAAAGTCCAGAGAGAATGGGTGGTAGAATGTGGCTTTATTGGTGGTTGGGGGAACTGGACACTGCCTCCACAGGTGCGCTGTTCTATTTACATTGCAGCGTTGCAAGCTTTCGCTGCAACCAGCCACCCAAAACAAACTTGAAAGCTTTTCGGCCCACAGAGAGGATGCGATGCAGTACTCCGAACGAGTTCCCCACATTTCAAGCATGTGGGTTTCGAAAATTGAGTTTTATTTAACACTCCGCTCAAAAATAGCCCACAGGTTGTATTGATTTTCGTTTAAGCGGCAGCCAAATGGTCAAGGAACGCTTGTTGCTTTCGAGGGGTTGAAAGCCTCGAAGGCGAACTCAATCAAACATGATAAATTAAATGCCCTAATTCCACACTTTTCATATCCTTAGAAAATATGTGAACTTTTGAAAAAAAAAAACCTGAAAGTACTAGGGTTTTTAATACATTTTATAGGTGTCCAAAAGTATGCAACTAAAATTGGACCCTAAATCTCAAAATATACGGATTTTAATTGATATATGTGTATATTATGTGTTTCTTCGAAAAACACTTGTAGTTTGGATTGCATTGGCTTGAAAAGTATTGGATCATGGCTACTCAGATCTTAAACATGTATTCCAAAATAGTTTTAATAGACTACAATCACAGTAGAGGAATTATGGTTACTAAGATCTAAAATTTGTATTCCAAAATAGTCCCAATAGACTACAATCGCAGCAACGGGAGACCCTTCATTCAAAGCGAAATTTCAGATTGCCGAGCTAGGGCCAAGATACATTCAGTTTGTATTCTACTTTCCTACGAAACACAACTATTTCTTACAAAAAAAAACCTGATCAAATTCTGTACTTTCAGTTTCATACAACATTCTTAAATTTTTCTCTAAAATTTTCGCGTGATTAATTCAAATTCCGATTATTTTTCTTGCCCAAAGATACGTAACAAAATGAGCACTTTGGAATTGAATGGTAGTGAGATGGGCGTTGGAAGCTCGAAGCCAGTTAGAACGTCTGAGGAAACGATCGGCGATGTCTATTCGATCAAGTCTGAGGATAATACCAACTTCGATGGCTACGAGGATATATTGGCTGCACAGGGTGATGATACTTCTTCAGGCTACATTAATTTTCTGAGGGATTATATAAAGCGCTATGGCGATTTTTACACATGTGAGGGGTTGGTGCTGGGAGCTAGAGAGCGATGGGCCGATATGTCCTTTCGCCACCGATGCGAATACTGCGCGGTAAGTTATCCGTTTCTGTCTGCATATCTTTAGTGATCAAACCTCAAAGATGCTTAAGAATTCGCGCTTGAAGACTGAAGCTAACTATTTCTTTCCACAGAACCCAGCTGAACTGTTGAAGCTAAAATGCGGTGATGGCGAGAATATGGAATATGAAGACGATGCTCCCAGGGACAATTTCTTTGGTGGCCGCAACGTTACCGGCGGTAGCGATAATGTTTGTCACAAAAAGCGGGCGCCCAGGTGCTGTAAACCCAGGAAAAGTTGCGCCAAACCGAAGCGCATGAAGAGTTGCGCCAAACCGAAGCGCATGAAGAGTTGCGCCAAACCGAGGCCCAGGAGCAGGGCTGCATGTCCCAAGCCCAAGTGCAAGCCTGCTTGTGCCAAAGCCAGGCCGAGGTGCCCCAAGCCCAAGCCAAGGTGCTCCAAGCCCAAGCAGAGGTGCCCTATGTAATAATAGGTCCATACGCCTCCCCCCTTTGCCCCTCCCCCCCTTTAGGCCATCTTTCTAAGACCAGAGATCAGACCAAAAATTAAGAATGCTTGTTGGCAGTGCTGGAATCATTGAAGTTGGATAACCTCCAGGGAACCAGGACCTCGAGATAACGGAGCCCCAGTGATTCCCCCCGCTAGGGAGCTTTAACAGAACCGAGGAACGTGGTTCTCGTGCCAGGAAGGCCCAAGTTCGAATTCTCAAGGCCATTACATCAAGCAAATGTAGTTTCGGACAATAAAGGTGTAGTCTGATCGAAAAAAGTGTTTTTTCTTTGGGTAATGGTAAACCATAAGGCAATACTGTGCAAACTATATTAATTGGGAGGATTTTCTTAAGTTCCATAATGAACTCGTGATCAACTGGTTTTTCATAGATACATTTTAGACCATATTTTTAGCATTATATCATGTAAAATGAATACTGGAAATGTTACCCTATGATTTCTTTGACTTTAAAAACCAAAATAAGTCATACGGGTCGTATGGATACGGAATTTCATACACTACAGTACTATCAACTATCAGTATATTGGGTTAGGATATGATACATAAGTGTAAACTCACCCTTTCTAGTTTCTGGAAGTACTGGCGCAGGAACTGCACGGGGTTCTCGGGTCTGCAGACGCACAGCTGGACGATGCAGTCCTTGAGGACCCGCTGGATGCCATGGGTCTGGATGTAGTGCTCGCACTCCCGCAGGCTCTGCTCCTCCAGCGTTTTGGCCATCATGTAGGACATGTGTGGGTGGAGTGGGTTGACGGATGTGGAGACGATGTGATGTAGATGTATGTATGGAAAACTGCTTTTCAAGCGCCGCACTACGCAAAATAAATGTGTGTATGTGTGTACACAAGAGTTGAGCGGAGTGCGTGTGTGGGTGTTGGTCAATGTTTCGCTGGCAAATCGGCTGAAACCACAGATAACTTGGCTATATCTCTGATGCACGCGGTTGGCTACACCTGCTGCTTTATCGTCCCGTTCGCTTTGCACCGCTTTCGCAGCTTTTCTTGCGTTTTTGGCACCGTTTTCCGTTCCGTTTGCGACACACACACACAGCACCCGTTTTCACTTTCGCAAAATTCACGCTTCTGGACCTTTTTGGCCTGTCCTGCTGATAAAAGCCCTTTGCCCCGCACTCCCCCGCAGCATATGGATAGCTCAGTGGCCCTCTAAAAGTCACTTAACTAAGTTTTTTTCATAAAAACTTAACTAATTTTCACGCACGTAGTTGTTGTTGTTTCTTATTGGCTGCATGTAGTGGTGGGCGTCTCAGTTGGTCACGCACTTATCGATAGGTTTTCTGGGGAGGCAGTGTGGCGTTGTCTAACACTGTTATCGATAGCAGCCGGGCCGTTGCGAATGGCAGTTGAACACGAATTTTAAAACGAAGAAAGCTTTTTCGAAGGGTGTTTTCGTACGCTGGAATTAATGTTTCGCCTAATCCAATAAAGATCAAAAGCAGTAGCTATGTGGATGTTAGATGCCAAAGCGTTTTTGAGCCAGTCAACAGAGGTGGGTTTACCTGGGATTTCCCACTATTTGTCGGCTTATTTGCCTTTGGGTTTTGCCTGGAATGTATTGATTTTTCACCTGGTTTCTTGCAGCTAAAATGCTACACACCGAATCCCTGCCCACCGCTGGCCACCAGGGCATCTATGCGCCACTAAGTCAGGCAATGAGCGATTCCGAATCCGACGAGGAGATCGAGATCCATAACGCCGCCAATCATCGCCAGAAATTGCAGCATAAACTTCACTTAGCCAATCCGAATCCGCAGGAGCAGCTCCAGGCTCAAAGGATACGCATTCCACCGAACACACTAGCCTTGAAGTCACCACATACTCGAGCCCCACCCACCGCCACCAGGATTGTGACACGCAATCCGGCCGCAAATCCCCAGAAATTCCAACTGGAGGGCAGTAGCTACGCCACAAACATGCAGAATACTTTCCGTTCCGTCATGCTGAGCGACAATGGCGGAGTGGGCTCGGAGTTGTCCCAGTTTAATAGTGAGTTCGACTCGAATGCGGATAATGTGGCCATTTTGGGTGGCAATCAGACGGGCGAGGACTCGGCCAAAAGGACACCCATGTCGCCGGCCAGGAAGTGCTGTTTCATAGGCAGCCTGGTGCTGTGCTTCCTGGCCGTCGTATCCTTTGTGTGGCTTGTGCCCTGCGGCAATCCCGACGGCACAGGATCCTGTCCAGCCGTTGTGGATCGCATCAAGACCCACAACTGGTTTAACAACTACACAAAGGCGGAGCTGAAAGGGGGAGTCAATGTGGTCGGCGGTTTGAGAGCCTGGGAGAACAACCTGATCTTCATGTATCGCGGCGATGCCTTCTTCCCGGAAACCCGACCTGGCAACGAGCGGCGCAATGGCATCATCTGTTTGATTGGCTCCTCGGGAGCAGTGGCCTGGTTTGTGGAGATGGTGGATGAGCCCGTGGCCCTGGACTGCACCCTCGTCGACGTGGATGGCAATGGGAAACCTGATTGCTTGGTACTCGATGAGTACGGCGAACTGGGAGCCATTAACCCCGTTTCAGGAGAATGGCTCTGGTGGTTCAAGGAGCGCTCAGCCCGCAAGGTGGATGCCTATGACTTCCCCGTCATCCTGCCTGACCTGGACGCAGATGGAGTTCTGGACATGCTGCTCGTGACCAGTTTGTCCCTGGAGGAGCGCACGAAATCCTTGGCCCAACTGAAACACGAAGCCCACGGACAGCTAGAAGCACGCAATGTCCTGCGCTTGCTCTCAGGCAGGAATGGAGCACCCATCGGCGATGGCTTCCCCATCCACGACTGCGACAGCTTGAACAACGTTAAGCTGGAGGCGGGCAATGTAAGCTTCACCTGCCAGCGGGTCAATGGCACGGAGCAGCAGCGTTCCAAGAGCCTGGCGGAGCTCTATGCCCTGATCACCAACAAATCCATTGTGGGCCAGAGGCTGGCCAGCTCGAAGATTTCCCAGCACAGGAACCACGGTCAGCGGCGGGAGCTTGATGCTCAGAGAAACATCTATTCTTTGAGCGGACGCGAACTGGTGGTGGAGAATCGTGGACGCTGTCCGGAAGATTGCAATGTCACCTTTGTCCTAAGCGAAGTCCGCGATGGCAAGCCACATGTGGTGGAGAATTTCATCAAGAGCGGGATGTACGGCATGGTGCCCACCCAGTGGCACTTCAAGAACACCAAGAAACAGATGTCCGGCTTTGTGATGAAGTTCTGGAAATGGCATGGCCTGGTGAAGCCCTCAAAACAGACCTCCGCAAGCAGCAATAGCAACAATGTCCAGAAAAGTGGCAGCAATAATCACACCAAGAACATGAATGCAATCAAGGATAAGGAGAAAGCGCAGGCCAAGAAACAGCAGCAGCATCAACGGCTGAAGAGGAAGAGGAGCTTGACCAAGACAGAGGACTACCCATTCCCATCACACCAGGAGGAGTTCGATGTCTTTGAGCACCTAAAGCAGAAGAGGGAAACCTTTGGAGTGCCCTCTAAAAACCAGACCAAATCCAGTGGCATCTCCTCCGGCGGCAGCTACAAAATGAACATGATCACGGAGAGCGTGCTTCTTGTGCTGTTTGTGGGCGCAGATACTCACATCGAGAACACCTCGCAGAGCAACATCATCCAGTTCTGCCGCCACGACCGCAAGGAGATGGTGTGCCAGCCGGATCTGAACAACCAGGATCACTCGATGCTCATCGCCGATCTGGACCAGGATGGATCTCAGGAGCTGGTCACCTACATGTCCACCTTCGTGCATCCCGAGGATCAGCCGTTCAGCGAATGGAAGTTGCTGACCTACGTGCGATTGTTGCGTCTCCAGGCGGAGCTGCCCGCCTACTACGAGAAGGACGAGAGCCACAACTAGGCGGGCATCCCACGATCCGCACCAGGATCCGGAGTAGGGTTATAGTGCATTTAGCCAGCCGGAAGCGCGCTGTCGAACACGAGTAGCAGTTTAACTAGTTGCATGCATTACATTGTACATTATAAAAAACTTTTCTAGAATCCCATAAATCAGTAAATAAATCTTTAATGAAATTATTCATGGAGAATTTGAGGATATATGGGTGTTTAGTGTTCTCTTAGTTTATATTTATTGATTTTCAACAGTTTCCTTCATATTACACAAATTATATTGCTAGAAAAATCTTATATTTTATCAATTGGATAAAAAATAAATGATCAGGGATTTTTATATGATATAAAACCAAAGATCAAGCTTTGGTTCAATGCGTTTTCAAGAGCCCAAGGGAATGTTTTAAAATTTAAAACATGTCGCAGAGGATGACCAGGATTGGGATTTATTCAGGATTCGTAAAGTTTTCCAACAGTCATAAACTTCTTTTCAATTTAGAACAGTAATTCCCGAGGAAAGCACGTTTAATTATACGTCCTTAATTCCGAACTATTATATAACCAATTTAACATTCCTTCTGCTTTAAATTTGCATACAATTTACACAGCGCGTCTACTGTACAATAAGATACAAAATATTACACTTGTATTTTGTGGGTTAGTGTAAAAAAATTCTTAGGGCGATAGTCTAGCAGTTCAGAATTAAACTCCTAAAAGGACTCAACTAAATGTAGGTTTTTAATTGTTAAATTTTTGTTTACGTGAATTGCTCTACCACTGCATATGGTATACAATATTTCTTAATCTATGCTCTAGAAGTCAACGTCGCTAAGGTAGCTTTTGAAATTAGCCCAGCAATTGGGAGCCAACCACTGTTCGGCTATAACCTTCAGTTCCTCATCCAAACGCGGAAAATTAGCCGCATTGGTGGCCGAGTGGTTGAGTTTTTTCAGCGAGCCATACATCTGAGGGATATGGGATATTAGCATATGATTAGAAATAGCTCAAAGGTGGGGCTTACCTCCGCTGAGTTAGTGGATATTTGTTTGGCAATGGCCATAGCCTCGATGCTAACGTTGCGGGCCTTGCAGATCTTGTCAACGAAACTGTGCGGTCCCAAAAGTTCCGGCGCGAACAGTCTTTCACCCAACAGAAACAAACGCGAATGCTGCAAGAAGTATATATACATTTAGAAAGCTTCACCTTGTAGAAGTTGATGGCTATTTACCACTTGACTAGACACCTTTCCGTGGCCATGCCACAGAGCATAGCCCTCGGGCAGCTGACCCAACTTGGCATAGTTAGTCTCTAAGGAGCAATCATCGGCGGCCACCACGTAGTCTGCAAAAGGCAGCTGCATGACGCCCAGATTAATCAGGTTGCCAACAATGCCCGCCACCAAGGGCTTGGGAAATGTGGCCAAAGTGCGCAGATAGGTTCTGAAAACAAATGTTGGCCTTAATAACAGTTTGGTCTGGGCTTAATATTGCTGTTACTCACTTTAGAGCTACGGACAGCCGACTAGCGCCTTCCCTGCGCTTCTCCAGCGATCCCTGCACCAGTTCCTGGCAATCGATACCCTGGCAAAATTGTGGACCCTCAACGGTTAGCAGCACTGTGTTGAACTCGCTTTTGCGGGCAACGCTGATCAGCGTGTCGTTTAACTGCTCCAAAAGCTGGCTGCTGTAAGTGTGTCCGGACTTTCCGCGATGCGTGTGAATCACCAGATGCGCCACCTTGTTCACCTTATGCAGAACCACCAACTCACTCCCACTGTTCGCCTTCATATCGTTGGCCAGCGTGTGCGAGGAGGCATCCTCGCCGCCCTTTTGGTTTGTCTTGGTAATGGGCTTCAGGAACTTGAAGGAAGGATCGGAGCCCTCGGCTGCATCATCCGACAGATTGGCTGCTCCCGACTTATTGTCCAGCGAATTCCTGCTAACGGAGGCATTGCTGGAGTATGAGCTGTTGGAGCGCCGACGCACGATCATGGATTCCTCGCTGGCGCGCTGCTTGTACACGTAGTCCCAGGAGTCGGAGGCGCGTGGCTTACTGGCGGATGTGTTGGCGGTGGTCTTGGTGAAAACGGAATCTGCAGCGCCAGGAGTTCGCTTGGTGGCCGGCTGCGCAGACTCCTTTTTGGGCGGCGATGGATCCGCTGCTGCACGGAGTGCCTGATTCTGCTGTTGAAAAAATAAATATTAGATAATAACTTTAATAAAAAGAGTTCCCAGAAGAAGTACTCACCCTTCCGGTTATGGTCATGGCTCGCTTGCGCATCAGCGGCTTGTTGGACACCTCTCCGCCGCTCATCTCCCGCTGCTCGTGCTCCACTGCGTGAATCATGTTAGCCGCTCCCTCGTCGCCCATCAGACGATCGATTTCAGAGACCTTCTTCTTTTTCTGGACTCCTCCATTGGCCAGACCTGCGTTCGGAGTTTGCGAGCGCCGCTTGACAGGAGAGGCACTCCGCTCTTTTCCGCCAACTGGAGTGCCAGCCTTAGAGATCCGTACAGTGGGAGTTGCTGCCCGTTTTTTTGGTGCGTTGGGGGAAATGCTTTTGACAGTCGTTTTTGGTGCTTGTGGTGCTGGAGAAGACGCCTTAGCCGGTGCCTTCGCGGTGGCATACTGCGCAAATGACTTTTTCGACTCAGGTACATCCGGATCCCATATAATCTTTCTCTTAATTACACGCATGCGCTTAAAGCCTAGAAATATAGCTTTTTAAATCAAGTTAACATAGAGTGGCTAGTGTTTTTACCCGTGGTGGGCTCTTCGGTTTCCTTGGGAGTTGACACAGTGACTGCTGCAGGCTTGGGTTTCTCCACTGTTGGACTCGTTGAGGCCGCCAACTGTTTTTGGCTCACGGGCTTTAGCATTACTTTAACGCTGCTGATCTTGTTGTTGAGCAAAATGGGCGAGTTTAGACTGGATTTGGTAGGGGATGTAACCTTTTTTAGGGGCAAAGATACAGGTGACTTCTTGGGGACCAGTTGCGCCGGTGGCAGGGCTATCACTTCTGTCACTAATCCAGACGTAGATGTGGGCTTGTCCTCCTCAGAATCGTAGTCGTCCCAATCGTCGTTCAATGAGGTGACAATGTCCTTTGGCTTGACCACAGGCGGCGGCTCCTTGCGGCGCGGCTTGGGCTTGAGGCCGGCCATCTGCTCAAGGGCCACGGCTCTGGCTTGCTCCGGGGAAAGCTTATGCTTTGGGATAGAAGGCCTCTTTGGCTCCACGTCGGCAGCGGATACTGGAGGCTTGCTGGGCTTGGACACGGGTACTTTGGGACTGGCTTTTCGAGTGGACGACTCCCCCTCGTCATCGTCTATCTCCATGATCTCAAACTGGCCTTCGCCCTCGATGGTGACACCAACATCGACTTCTTCTTTTACGCCGTCCAGCTCGGAGAGAGCCTTCTCCAGGGAGCACTTCTCCTCGCCGGAAGGCTGCTCATGACTGGTGTCTGTGCCCTTGAGCAGGGCAATCAGATCCACTTCCTCCAAGGGGGATTCGCTGATCTGGCCGTTGCCCGAGGGATCGTGGCCATCTTCGAGGAGTGGGGACCCACCGGCCAGGTCCTCACCTCCCAGGCGGGCCTCCAGGCCACCATTATCAGTTCCGCCACTTGGAGTAGCGGAATTAGCAGCATCGGAGGCCGCATCCGGAGGTCGAATGTGGTGCAGCTTGGCTATCTCCTGCTCGAGCGAGCTCAGTTCATCCAGGCCTGCGCCCTCGTCTGAGCCGTTGAGATTTGCCAGCTCATCCTCCAAATCAGTGGTACCCGCACTTTTTGGAAGCTCTTCCAACGCCGATGTTTTGGGTTCTGCGCTCTCACATTTTTCAACTTCCCGAGCAGGCTCCTCCGTTTGGAGTGGCTCCGGTGTTTGCACTTCGGTGTCCGTCACCTGCTCCATGATTCCGCTGCCCTCTGATGGCTTTCCGTTCAACAGGAGCTCCAAGTTGGGACTTTACGTGCTCGTTTCAATCGAATTAGACTAATACAAAAAAAAATGCACTTGCTGCAAAGCGGCCATTTTTTAGTGGTGCGCAGGTCAGAAAGCGCCTATCGATAGGTGGGAAACTATCGGCACTGGAAAGATAGCCAGATTGAAAACTAAATTATTTAAATGAAACATTTTATAAATATAGTCAAATATAATGGAGAAAGTAGTTTTTAAATATTTGTTTTAAAAAGTTCTTAATAATTCGCTATCTTTTCTTGACTGCTATGCCTATAATCAAAACTATCACAAGTAAAAATAGCTACTAATCGTTAAACTGATGGAATTGAAATTATTAGCAGACATGTTTTTGGCATACTTAATAAATACTTATTACAGCCATGACGTGGCCAACACAATGATTACAAAATCAGTGACATATATAAAGTTACATCATTAAATGTGAAAAATATATTGAAAAAATCCATTCGTAATCATTTTGCATATTGTTTGTTTGTGCTTTTCGTGTGAATAGCTTGTTTTACCAAGTGTAAAATACAAAATCTTTGGAATTTTTTTAAATTGTTTCCCGCCATTTTTTAAGAGTGGCCATAAATCATGTCGGTAATTCGATTTGTCATGTTGCGATGATTCCCTGCCGAACATCGGTGCTATCGATGTTTTGAAATCATCGATGACACCGATGCCAACATCGATGTCTCTCCACCCCCCTTTCGAATACTTGATGGAAAAAAGTCTCATCTGCAACAAGGATTCGCGCAAGGATAGCGCCAGGAAAGGCAACCGTTAATTGATCCAACCCCTCGGCGGCGGTCAGTGCGAGTGCACAGAGTATCCGCAAACCCGCAGCCACGAGCGCATCCCGGCGAGCGGCAAAATCCGGACGAAGCAGGGGCAGAAGCGAAACGAGCGTCGAATACAGAACTTCGCAGGCAGGGGGCAGCAGGCAGCAGGATGTGGGACTCATCCATGTTTCTCAGCACGCTGACGCCCAAGTTCTACGTGGCGCTCACAGGGACCTCCAGCCTGATCTCGGGCCTGATCCTGATCTTCGAGTGGTGGTATTTCCGCAAGTACGGCACTTCCTTCATAGGTGAGTAGTGTTCGTCGTGCTCCATTCCCACCCCCTTGGTAAATTTTGATTTCCCTTGGCTGTCCTCGTTCCGCAGAGCAAGTCTCCATCAATCACATTAGTCCCTGGATAAACGGCAGCGATGGTCAGTCGGAGTCAAGCAATGGCAGCGGCAGCAGCAGCAGCAGTGGCTCCAGCAGCAGCAGCAATGGTGGAGCAGGCGGAGGAGGATCGGGCGGTGCAGGCGCATCGGCCGGTTGCAGTACCACCACCAGCACGGGTACACAAATGCCCGAGTGCAAGGTCTGGCGGAACCCCCTGAATCTCTTTCGTGGCGCCGAGTACCAGAGATTCTTTTGGGCCACCAGCAAGGAACCGTTGACCTACTACGACATGAACTTGAGTGCCCAGGATCATCAGACCTTCTTCACCTGCGAGGGCGATGCCCGCAAGGAGGAGTATGAGATCATGCAGACGGCCTGGCGCGAACGCAATCCCATGCAGCGCATCAAGTCGGCCCACAGTGCGCTGGAAATCAATGCGGAATGTGCCCCAGCCTACATACTGCTGGCCGAGGAGGAGGCCATGACCATTATGGAGGCGGAGAAGATCCTGAAGACAGCTCTGAAAGTGGCCGAGATCAACTACCGTAAGTCGCAGGCAACACAGCATCAGGGCGCCATAGCGGATGGCATGCATCGGCGGGACACCAATGTGCTGATCTACATCAAACGACGGCTGGCCATGTGCGCCCGCAAGCTGGGCAAGCTGAAGGAGGCGGCCAAGATGTTTCGCGATCTCACCAAGGAGATACCCTCGATCATGAGTGTACTCAACATACACGAGAATCTGATCGAGACTCTGCTGGAGATGCAGGCCTATGCCGATTGCCATGCCATTCTGGCCAAGTACGACGACATCTCGCTGCCCAAATCTGCGACCATCTGCTATACGGCTGCTCTGCTGAAGGCGCGTGCCGTGGCTGACAAGTTCTCGCCGGACATTGCATCCAAGCGGGGCCTCAGTCCGGCGGAGATGAGCGCCGTGGAGGCCATTCATCGGGCGGTGGAGTTCAATCCGCATGTGCCCAAGTATCTGCTGGAGACAAAGCGTCTGATCCTGCCGCCAGAGCACATCTTGAAACGTGGCGATTCGGAGGCACTGGCCTATGCGTTCTTCCATCTAAAGCACTGGAAGCAGGTGGAGGGGGCCCTCAATCTGCTGCACTGCACCTGGGAGGGCACGTTTCGCATGCTGCCGTATCCGCTGGAGCGCGGCCATCTCTTCTATCCATATCCCACGTGCACCGAGTGCGCGGATCGCGAACTGCTGCCGGCGTTCCACGAGGTGTCCGTTTATCCCAAGAAGGAGCTGCCCTTCTTCATCCTGTTCACGGCGGGACTGTGCTCCATAACCGCCCTTCTGGCCTTGGCCACCCACCAGTATCCGGAGCCGATGGGCCACTTGGCACAGACCGTACTTACCTGGATTTCGTATCCATTTCAGTTGCTCAAGGAGCGCATCGAGGCGTTCTGGCCGTGCAATCTGCTGCAGCAGTTGTCGCGCGTCTAAACTGGAGGTCACGTAGTTCTCCACTTTCCACCCTCGAATGACGTCTCACACACAAACACACACTGACACAAAACAAGGAACACCACACATACTCACATGCATCCATCTCCATCTGGCTAAGAAACCAGCGGGCGGCAAGCCACAAAAACCACTCAAAACACAAACCCTAAATACATAACATGAATATATATATATATATAAAAACGTATATATATTTTGGATCTTAATATGTCTGTGTTGTCTTCGTGAAATAAACATAAACAAAGCAAAAGCAAACAAACACGCACTCAGCTAGTTCCAGCTTCCAAGTGATCCGGATGAACGAAACGAATTTTCAGCAGCCACGCAAGAGGAAACTAAATTATTCTTAAGTTTTATTATTATTTTAATTATTGTAAACGAGTACGAGGAGCCAGTAAACTAAAATGCAGAAATTATCCCTAATTTCTATTTATTTATTTGTTTATTTTTGCTATATTTTGGGGTTTGTTAAGAACTTTAACTTTTAAAGTCAATCAAACTGGTAGTAATATATTTACTGAGTAATTGAAAACCCGACGATTAGCAGTTATATATTGGTATATATTTGGTAAAAAGAACGTATTTATTTTAAATTTATACAAGTAGTAAAATAAGGTGTTCTAAATATAAATTCTACATATTTACTTTTTAAGGTACTGCTCGGGATCGGCAAGAAATGCTTCCAGGAAAGCAATTCCCTTTGGCAGATACTGAATGTTTTCATTGAAGAGATGCAGTTCGGGGCGCAGGATGTCCATGAAGGACACTTCCTCGATATTTGAAACATCAATCACGAAACTCGTCTTCTCCAGACGCACAAGCGGTTCGTCCTCTATACATTTCCGCACAATCTTTTTTACAATAGTATGATTCGCTTCTCTGAAAAAGGGAAAAATTCAATAACTGATTAATAAAATAATACAGTTTTTTTTAAAGATTTTAAAGTGTTATTTTCATGCCCGATTTAAAATGCTACTTTAATATTTAATAGGAATAAGTTCCAATAAGAATTAAACAAAAAAAGCTGCTCACCTTAGGAGCCTCGCCCTCTTCTCCCTTAAAACGGTCAGAAGACTATGGAACGTTTGCTTGATCTCCACAATTTTCTGATCAATATGTTTAAGGAACTTCAGAAAAGCTGTCTCATCGCTGCCTTCAATGGCGTCGGTAAGATTGAGCGGCAGTCTGAGACTCAGTTGAAAGTTCAAAAAGTGCTCGCACGATGTCCAGTGCTCTTTTCGAGTGGTCACCTCGTTGTCCAACTCAATGGAGCACACACTAATGGCAGACTCTTCCGCCATGTCCTCGATTTTGTAGTTGACCACAACTCGGAACGTGGTCAGCAGGCGGTGGTAAAATATCATTTGCTGGGATATCTTGCGTTGGAAGTCAAAGATCCAGTTTGGCTGCTGCTCGGCCAGCAAACATTTGAGGCGTTCAAAGAAGGATTCCGTGGGCTTGTCTGAAGCCTTCGGTGGACCAGTTCGTCTAGATAAAAGATAAAGCATTTAGTTAAATGTTTATAATTTACATATTGATCGGTTCTTACATCTTGCACAGATCTAAAAGCGCCGCTTTGTCCCATGGCGTTGGCTCCTCCTCTACTCTCGATTGATCCATGGAATCGTCTGTTTCGTGGCACCTGGACATGCGGGTCTGCTCCTCGAGCTCCCAGTACAGATTGACCTCCTTCATTGTGGGTTTCTGCCTGATGATCCGCAACCGCTGTTGTTGCCTTGAAAAGTCCCACAGTTTCTTGTGTGGCAGGACGAAGGAGTCGTTACTTAGCTTCGTTTCGCTTAAGGATTGATTGCAATTTGTGCACTTCTTGCAGGAGCGGCTGCTGCCGGCAATAACCACTGGCTGATCCTCACAGAGTTCAGTTTTTGGTGGATGCTCCTCTTGGCACTCCTCCTCCTCCACACCCTCGTCGTCCGTTTCCTCGGCCAGCGTGGAAACCAGGCTGAGCCGTACGTTGTCTATTTCAATGGATGGCTCCTTCTGCTCCCCATCCGCATCCTGGGCGGCTGCAAACGTGGTGGTGTTCCCGGTCAGATTGATGAATTTCAAGTTCGTGGCAGCATAGCTCTTAAAAGTTCTGTCGTTGGATCCGGCGCTCTCCCTTTCGCTGGATCTGCGCTGCTCATCTTTCCGCTGCTGAAAGTAATTGGTCACATCCGAAATAGTTATGGGCTTATCATCCAGATCTGTGTTATACTCCAACTTTTGTGGCAACTCCAGCATATCTAGAGAGCTCTTCTTATTCAGCTCGTTCATGGCAGGATGATAATCCCTTAAGGCCTGCACCGATGCGTCCATTGGATTTACCGTGTAGGTCCTGCGGCATTTACTTGTGCCTGCCTCCAACATTGGTTTTGTCGTCCCCCAGGCACCTTCTTGCTCCTCCTCCATTGTAATATCCATGTTGCTATCCGTAAACAGATGTGTATGCCGTTTTTTGGACTCTGGAAGATTGGGTGTGAGATGCAAAGGCAGGCGCTTCAGCTGGGCGTGGCGCAATGGAGTTCCAATCCCGGAGGCATCCGCCACCAATTCCATCTGCTGCGGCTGATACGTAGAAAATTGTTTTCTCTGCGAAGTAAAAACCTTTTTTTCGGGAATCGGTATCTTGCTCATCTCTTCCTGATCCTCGAACTCAGTCAAGGACATTCCTGGCGTGTAGGTGGTGAATTGACTAATTCTTGATAATATCCTGGTATTGGGCACGGGGGTGATAAGCATGGTTTGAAGGGCTTTAACTTTGGAAGGAATCGCTCCCTCTTCCCTTTCCAAGGAGTTGCCAAAAGTAGTATCCTTGAGAGCATTTAAAACGCCTTTTTTTGGTTTTTCAGGAAGTTGCTTTTCATTTGTGGGGTAATTGTGTCCAGGTAATTCCTCATCTTCATTCATGGGTTCTGATAAAAGCAAAGTATGTCTTCTGGGGGACTGGGCTGTAGGAATCGTGTCCTTTTCAATCTCAATGGATTGGGCGCGAACAAGAGTACTTCTTGTCTTCCTTAAATTCTCATCCACTGAAAAATGCTTTGAATTTACATCAGATGTAGCGGCTACACTTTCCTTAATGGATTCTGCCGAAGGGAGCGTAGTTCCGGCCACATTTTTGGATTCTCGATAGTTACCAAATGAAATATCATCTTCCTCAATGGGTTCCGGTATAAGCAACGTTTGTCTCGATTTGGACGTCGTATTTCCTCTAGAGTTGCTTGTATTTTTACTTTCCAAATGATACTCACTGCTGTTACTTGTCTTTCTTTTATTATAGACACTTGTATCTTCATCAATGGGTTCTGCCATAAGAATCGTCTTCCTGTGCTTGGATATCTGGGGCTCAAGGGAATTTTCCTCCACCCCGGCTACAATGTCTTCCTGAATGGGTTCATGGGCGACCAGAGTATTTCTGGGTTTCTGGTGATGCTGGCTCCTACGATGATTTCTTGGTTTAACAGGCTCAGAATCTTCCTCTATTGGCTCCGCCATAACAAGGGTGTGTCTTGATTTAGATCGATTCTTAGATGTTTGGTCAGTAAGTCTGGATTTTAGCAATGACTGGTCCATAGAATTTTTCATTGGGTTAAGGAGCTCCAAATCCTCTTCTATGGGTTCGGCATTAACAAGCGTCTGACGCCTTCTTTGGTCATTCACTTTAGTTGTCGTCTGCTGCATAGAATCCTCGACAAAATGAGTGATCATGTGATCTTTTGGCTTCTTATGAACTTCCTCATCTTCCTCTATGGGTTCGGCCACAAGGAGAGTTTGACGAGGCTTGGATGGCTGAACAGGGTTTTCAGATACAATTTCCATAATGGATTCTGTCATAAACTTAGTGCGGTTTGACATTAACTTAGACTGATCATTATTGTTAGCCATAGACTTATATATTTCCTCATCTTCATCTATGGGTTCCGCCCCAAGGAGAGTTTGACGAGGCTTGGATGGCTGAACAGGTTCTTCAGATTCAATTTCCATAATGGACTCTTCTATAAGCTTAGTGCGATTTGACATTAACTTAGACGGTTTATTATTGTTAGCCGTAGATTTATATATTTCCTCATCTTCCTCTATGGGCTCTGCCGTAAGGATGGTTGGGCGAGATTTGGATGGCCGACTACCGCTTTTAATTGTCATTTCTCCAAAAGATTCTTCCATTAACTTAGTATTTCTTGACTTATGATGAGACTGGTCATTTTTGTGAGCGATAGACTTATGAGCATCTTCTATGGGTTCCGTCATTCGAAGAGTTGATCCTGATCTTAAGGATCTATTAGATGATGTGTTTTTATGTCCCACCTCGGTTAATAGTTCCTTAGTTCGATTCATGGGTTTTAGCTTACACACATGTTCGTCTACTGGAGCTGACATAAGAATAGTTCGACTTGCTTTGGAAGTCGTAGAATCCGCCTTTTTGGTTTGCAACTTATCGTCACACTGACTATCCATGAAAATGCTAAAGGATTCAGGTCGTGGCTGTTCTACATCTTCTTCAATGGGTTCTGACATGATAAGCGTTTGCCTTGACTTCAGTCCATGCTGCCCAACTGAATTATCATCCTTTCCGGGTACAAAATCCTCCTGAACAGGCTCGTGGAGAAGAACAGTGCTTCTTGATTTCAAGCGGGACTGTTGTTGGCACTGAATGGGTGCAACTTGTTCTTCTTCAATGGGCTCAGACATTATAAGAGTGTGCCTTGATTTTTGTCGCTGCGGTGCAGTTGATCTATCAATTGTTTTTTGCGTTACTATTGACTTATTCTTGAGTAGCGGAACGCAACTGTCATCCTCGATAGATTCTGTTGTAGTTAGGGTTTTTCTGGATTTGGTGAGAGTCATTAAGTTCTCCGCTCCAAAAGGATCTCCAAAAGCCGGTTCCTCTTCCATGGGTTCTTCTAACAGAAGAGTTTGCCTAGCTTTTGATTTCTTTCCTTGATTCGACAAGTTCTTAACTGGGATTGTTTTATCTTCTTCAAAAGGTTCAGCTAAATGAAGTGTTTTTCTTTTTGCATCGCAAATTACCGGCTCTTTTTCATTATTGAACATTTCCTCTTCCATGGGTTCCTCTAACAGTAGAGTTTGCCTGGCTTTGGATTTCTGTTCTTGATGCGGAAAGGTTTTCGTAGGTAAAAGCCTGTCTGGTATGACTTCCTCCTCCTCCAGAGGTTCCACCAAGTGGAGTGTTTTTCTTTTCGAATTATAGACAGGTTGATCCATCATATCCCTACTCTCATCCATGGGTTCCTCCAATAACATAGTTTGTCTCGGTTTGGATTTGATTTCCTTTTGGGCTACATTTGTTAGAGGAAATATATCGCTTCTGTTGAGTTCCTCTTCTTCCAAAGGTTCTGCTAAATAAAGAGTGTGATTAGCTTTGGGTTGGACATTGACGGCAGGAGCAAATGTGGGTTCCAAATGTAGATCCTTGCAAGGACTGGTGATGTCCATGCTTTCCTGCAACAAAAGGGTCTCCCTTCGCTTGGTTTTGCAGGCCCAAACGGTGCCTTTCCTAGCGTTCTCCTGGCTAGTTGTAGATTTTTCATAGACAGTCTGCTCCGTGGTCACCGCAATCTCCTTCCTCACGTGCATAGACTTGGTGGCTTCCTGATCCATGGATTCATTGAGGTGTAAAGTGCGACGTGGGGGAACGGCATTCACACCCGAAATAGCAGGCAAATCTAACAGATCCTGCTGCATTTCCTCAGCTTTGCAAATAGTCTGTCGAGGCTTGGAGCTCGGAATGGGATGAAAGCTATGACTGTTTATGGGATATTCCAAATTCAACTCGGAATTGTCATAGGTTGTCTCCCGTCTCGTAGAGTTCTTGGAGTTATTTCTCGACTGAGTCTCATCGCCCAATTTCGCATGGGCCAAGAAATTTGTGTTGTCCAGCATTATCTCATCCGCCTGGGAAAGTCGATATTTCCGCTTGTCATCCATCACCTTAAGTTTATCTTTTTCTTTTCGAATTGGACTTGTTGGCGCCGGCGACATGGTCATATTCTCGCTGAAGTTCAAAATTGCCCGTGGCTTAATGCTTCTTATATCCTTCCGCGGGCTACTATCTTCCCCTTCCAGACCTTGCCAAAAACGATTTTTCGTTGTCTTCCGATCTGTTGTGGGCGTTTTTGGACCATTTGGAAACAACTGAATCTTTCCCGCCTCCAGTTCATCGTTCAGTTGGCGAAAATTGAGTTTCTTACTAATGTTTTTCCCCGAGATCATGTCGAATGGTATGAGCATGGACTCATCCTTCATGAAGTTGATGGTGCTATTGTTGCTCTCAAAGGAGTTCGACGGCGAGCGATCCCGGTCCTCGGATACTGAAAAATAAAGCAGTTCATGTTAATCGAATGTTAGAAGCTGGTTTTTTAAACATTCCTTTCTAATATAGTCGTGCAAATATGTGTCAGAAAGGAAAACATAGAACTAACCATTTAAAGGGCAATCGAAGGATATATCAACTGGTCCAAGTTGGGTTTTATTCTTGATCTTCCTGGCCGCCTCCTCTATGTCCATGAAAAGCGATTTCTGCACCGGAGTCTTCTTTTCCTTCTTGGTGAACTCGCGCATTTCCCGCATCATGCTGTCGTCTTCCAGATCCATGAAACTCTGCTGTGCTGGCGGATTAACAGGAGCGGGAACAGTGGGAGCGGGAACAGCGGGAGCGGGAGTAGGAGCTGGAACAGCGAATCCCAATGGCGTGATGTCCATAAAGGAGTCACTTATGCCTTTGGCCACTGGGGTATTCACACTTTTTACCCTTTCGATGGGTGGCTGTTCGAATGAGGGATCCTCAAAATGGCTGGTTTGGCTTTGGATGCGGGTAATCAGCGATTGCGACATCAGATCATAGGTCTTGTCCATTGCCCGGTGATCGTAGAGGCTGCTCTGCAGCGCCTTTCGCTCCTCGGAGGACAGACAGATGGAGGTGGTGTTGTTGGCGTTCCGGGATGATGAGATCCTCGGCTCGCCGGGCAGCATGGTGACATCCACGCTGGTCTGCAAATTTAGGGTGGAGTCGGTGACGCTTCGTTCATGATGGCCGGGCAAAGGAACGTTCTCCTTGTCCGCATCTTGTGAAACTATCGGTAATGATCCTGATCCTGCTACGGATCTGGATCCCGTGCTGTCCTCCGCATTGTGTTCGGACACCTCGTACGAGTCGTCCCAGTTGTTGGTCTCCTTGGTGTTGACAAATTCCCTATACAAAGAGGCATAAATCATCTTTATAGCGACCGGATTCCCATACTGTACTTACCTCACGAACTTCTTGCCACTGAAACTGATGCGTCGCTTGATTTGTTGTTTGACCGTCGCTTGATTTGTTGTTGTGGCATCATCTTCCACAGGCGCCGCCTTGCGCAACTGCAAATATGTTCAAATAACTATTAGTAAGCTCATTGTCTTTATTTGTTTGCAAAAACCCACGGAACTTCGACGATTGTTTGCATTCATGGCGCTGTTAAATTTGTTTTTAGTTTGAAATCCCATTGGACAGACGCCGCCATTTTTGTGTGAACGGCAAAACGGTGCTGCCAGATAGTTGGCAGAGCATTTTGAAAAATACTAAAAAAAAAAATACTAACGCTTACAACGATCTTTGCGGATGAGCTAAAACCGTTGAAATTCAAATTTATACAATTAAAGTTCATTAAAATACAATACAAATCTGAAGATTATTATAGGATGTCGATAGGACTTTCTTCGAAAAATGGAAGAAAAAAAATGAACTCTGACCTTCACAAATACCATTAATTTTATTAACCATTAAATCCAATATTAAATCACATGTTTCAAAATCATTAAAAAAAAAGGATTAGGCCTTGAAGTTGTCCTTCTCCTTGCGCAGCTTGCCCATGGTGACGATGGGATCGGTGGCTCCGCCGGCGTGCTTTTGCACCGTGGCCTCATGGACGCGCATGAAGGGATTCCAGGACTTCTCCTCGCCAATTGTGGATGGAACAGTGGGATCCTGCGAGGCGCGTCGGTGCTTGGCCCACTCGATCCTCTGCTGGATGACCTCGTTGTCCGGCTCCACGTGCCGGGCGAAGCTCATGTTCTGCAGCGTGTATTCGTGGCCGCAGAACACCTTTGTGCCATCGGGCAAAGCAGAGAGCTTGGTGCAGAGGGCCTCGTACATTTCCTCGGGAGTGCCCTCAAAGAAGCGTCCGCATCCGCCCTGGAAAAGGGTGTCACCTGTGAAGACGGCTCCCTCACCGCCACTGCCGTCCTGCGCTGTGACATGGTAGCAAATGTGCCCAGTGGTGTGGCACGGTGTGGACAGACACTTGACGTTGAGGCTGCCAATGCTGAAGGTGTCGTCCTGCTGTACCTTCTGGTTCAAGGCGCCAATTCTGTCATCGCCGCCATACACATCCAGCTGCTTCCCATCCCACAGCTTGACCAACTTCTCATTGCCGCCGGCATGGTCCCAGTGATGGTGGGTGGTCAGCACCTTGCTGAGGGTCAGCTGCTCCTCCTGCACCGTCTTGATGACCAGTTCCGGCTCCACGGGATCCACGACGGCCGCCTCGCGCGTCTTTCTGTCCACAATCAGATACATATAGTTGTCCTGCAGGGCCGGCAGGATCTTGATCTCCATGCCCTCCAGCTTGACGTCCTCCAATGTGCTATGCATGCCTCTCAGTCCGACTTTGCGCAGTTTTTGCACTGAAATGAGATAGCATTTTGACATTTAGATTGACAAATAACAAAAAAAAAAAAAACGGACAACAGGCAACGATAAATGGAAATGCAGCGGGGTAGAAGAGATTAGATTAAACACATATGTACGGATAGATTACGGTTGACGAGACTTGTACGGACGGGCACAGCCAGAAATCGTCTTCGCATTGCTCCAAAACCAGGGGAATCCGCTTGTGGAATCCGCAGCAATCGCAGACTGCCGGACGAACCTCGGAAGTAGGTGGCGGTCAACTGGGACTCCACTGTGGTGGCCACGCTGCGCCAGGCTCCGGCGAACATTCCGGCTGCTTTTGATTTCTAGATTTGGCTAAAAGCGTGTAATATGAATTAATTATGGCCCCAAATTACAGTTTTCCTATTTTTTTCCGGATAATCGGGAGTGACCGTTTGCAAACCGGTTAAAAATATCATTGACGAAGGGCGTTGGAATATACCAGAAATATACTGTATTGGTTGAGAGCTTTGATGTGTTCTTAGCACAGCTTCAAACCAATTAGGGTGTTCCCTAAACTGTTTATTTCCGGAATTTTTGAATTTCAGCCGTTTGTATTAAACTTATAAGTTTTTACAATCCAATAGTCACAAATGTAATAAGTTACAAAACGAATTAAAGAAGAATTGTTGAAGTTGTTCATATTTGTTTGTAAAATCCTATATCTTAAATACATCAAATAAATTGCAAATACTCTAGATCAAGGGAATAACATCGTTGTTCGGGATAACAAGTCTAATATACTCAATCACTCTCCTAGGAAACTTTCCGAAATAAATGTCAGTTGGATTTGACCGAGTATGAACAATAGTTAAGAATATTAAATTGCAATGTCAGAGTCAACCGATCCCCACTGTTCCACCTCCAAGTCCAACCTGATCAAAGTAAATCACGTGGGCGTTACGGCCAAGATGCAATCCCCGCTGAAGAAGATACTGCCCCGGATGAACTTCTCCAGCGATTCGGATGTTTACCAGAACAGTCAGACGCAGTACAACATGTTCAAGGATGCGAGGCGTGGCGAGGTGACCGAGTCCACCGCTTCCGGTAGCTCCCCGCACACCCTATACGAAATGCACGCCGAACCGGATAAAAGTATACTGAATCAGTCGAAGATCAGGCCCCATAGGATCGAGTTCCAGCGTTACTCCAAGAGGCGTCCCCATGTGATTGTGCCAACTAAGTCGGTTCCTAAGGTAAAGAGACGTTCCAAGTCCCACAAAGCCTCGCAGGTGCCGAAACATAAAGGAGGTTTCCTGGCCCGTTTGGTTGAATCACTGGACAAGATGTGCCAGTGCCAGCCGCCGAACCAGAAATCCATTATCGACGATCTCCCGGAGCCTCAGTGGAATCGCAAGGAAGCCAGCCGGCATACCTGCATCGGAATCTATCCCTTCGAGCACGGATGCGCCGATTATCTGAGCACCACTGACACCCATCCGAAGATCAATTCCATTGTCCTGGCGGATCGGGCCACCACCTATGCCACCCACTTCTGGGCGGAACTCTTTGGGTTGCTCCACATCGCCGTGGCCTTCGTGGTGGCCTTCATCCTGCAGAGCTATCGATTCGTCCTGTACTCCCTGGTAAACACCCTGCTCGTGGGACTGCTCCACATGACCTCGGACTACATGCTGAAACCCTTTCTGACCATGCTCTTTAATGGCTTCCTCCAGCCGCCTTTGATTTTCCTGTACAACATCTTGTGCTCTGTGAGGGACATCCTCGAACCGGTGGCCAACACCCTGAATAACTTCATGAAACCACTGGCCACAGTGGGCAGCAGTTTACGAATGGTGGATGTCAACTACCGCCAGATCCATAAGCTGGCCAAGGATGTTTGAGTTTTCTTCTTGTTACTTTGTTAAATTTATATTGTTTGGTTTCTGTTGTGTTATCTTGTTAAATTGAAATAAATGTTTTAACTTTGTTCTTTAAATTAAAATATTGATTATTGGTTCGAAAAATAAATATGATAGTATACTATACTATAAAAAACCACTAGCTATATTATATTGTTTTATTTACTTTCAATTTCAGACTTTTTTTTTAAATGTAAGTACCTACAATTTTTTATAAGTGACTTCCCCTATTAAATTTCTTTTAAAAAGTTTTGTTCCATTCCCATTGTATTATGTTCGGTTCGCTTCCACTCGTTTCATTAGAGGGCGGAGCTCTCGCAACCCCTAAAATCTCAACAAGTTCTCCCACCAACTTCCCCTTCTCTTCCGCAATCCCCACACAACATTACGCACATTCCAAAAACCAGCTCGGATTACATTGTTTTTCTTGTCTCACCAAAGTGTAGTCATGGTGACACACCCCTGCCCCTTGGACAACTTAGGGGTAAGTTTGGGCTCAATTACGTTGAATGCAACATTTATGATTTATTTGCTCATTTTGCGGCACGGGGAAAGCATATGTCCGAAATAAAAAAGTGAAAAACCCACTAATTGTGTCTCTCGGGAATTTTCTTTCGTTGTGGTTAATAAGTTTACAATTTTGGGTTAAAACATTTTTTTGGGTGTCAGACGAAAGGGGTTTAAAGTATAGAAAGTAAAAAAGGATACAAGGTTTTTAAGGTTCGTGGCTTTTGATGGAATAAAATTAAGTTAAATCCTAAGTTAAAAATGTTATAAAGATACATTTTCAATAAAACTATACAATTATTAATACAAAAATCCAAAAATGTGTGCATTTAAAATACTTATCCCAGAAATTTCTACGTTTTTTAAATCAGAAACACCCGTCGATTTCAGGTATTATTTGAAAAAACCAAGTTATGAATGGTTTCCTGATTTTATCTCATCAACATCCATTCACCTTCTTTCTTTCTGACTAAAAAATATCTTAGGAACCCTATCCATTATATTTGGCAAATAGAAATCAATAAAACTGATCTGCAATGATGGCTATCAGGGGATTTGGTTGCCGTTCTGGAGAAGTTCTTCATTTTCGATGGAATACCCATTCAGAAGGTAAACACTGCAATCAATTATCGTATTCAAATCTTGGCAGGTACCGTTTGTGTACAAATAGCTGAGGAGTATTAAGTGGAAAAGTTGTAGTTTTCTTGTTTATCGGTTCAGTGGAGAAAGGAAACACCAGCGGAGCTTTCATTAATGAGAATAATGAGCTGGTTGCCAACTAAGGATCGTCTTACAGTGCACCCCTTTCTGAGTTCTGAATGGGGAAATGGACTCATAGGCCCTCCGTCCGTCCAATTAGCTGTGGAAATTGTTTGGGTGTTTCGAGTATCTCGGCATATGTTCGAAATTACCGAAGGAAACTCGCCCAGCATTGATTGATTTGCGTTACTAAGTGGCAGGGGAAAATTAAAATTGTTTTCCGCCTTTCGTGTTTCTGAGAAAGACTAATTTGATTATGGATGTCTCCAAAAATATATTTTTGTCGCGGTTGTATCAAGCTAATTTAATAGAAAGAGTAAAATGTATAACTTCTTATAAATATTAAAATTTCAGTATTGAAAGCTGAAATAAAAGTATTTACAAAAAATATTATTATTATAGGCAGTACAAAACATTTTTATGCGGTTTACAAGGAACTTTTATCAATTACCTTTTACTCTTTAATTAATTTAAAAGATTTGTAAATTCTTCTTATTTAATTTGTTCATATAATTAAAGTTATGCAACTTTTTATCATTTGCTTATGGTTGTATATCATTTATACAGCTTGCAAAATATGCAATATTTGCGAATTTTATTAATTGGATTGTCCTTTTGATGTCCCTATAAACACCTTTGTGTTCCTCGCGTAATGCCCAAAACATTTTCGAGCTAAAGGTGCGAAAATCATTTGGCATCGCCAGACAAAACTGTCCCGCACATAATCCCCGGTTGGCCCATTATTGTGTGATCGACAGGCGGATAAGGGAATCCTCCTCATGAATGGGAGCAGACAGAATTGCAATAGCGACAAGGTGACACCTTACAAAACGCTTTGTTGGGAATTTTGGGATTACAGATGGTAAGCTGTTTCTGTTTTCTGGGCTGCTCTATTTTCTGGCCTGGAACTGGAGTTTCGGGATTAACCGAGCAGGTTTTTCTCTTACTAGGATGATGACGTTTGCTAAATATACCAGAGTGTCCTGTCTCTTTTTGCAAAAAGTTAAGTAATTTGTTGAACGTCGACGTGGTGACAATAGACTACAATGGAAAACCATTGGAAAACGATGGGCTGGCCAGCCACAAATGGTTATGCAAGAAGTTACCAGTAAATGGAGACATTTTAAAGGAACTTTGTAGATCTCGGTATGGAAAATTGAGTAACAGTCAAGATTATCGCAAAGTGCTTGAAAATTCTGGGTATTTTTGGGGTATTATAATGCTGGATGATGCAAAAAAAGGAAATGCGAGAAGAGCTACTTAAAATGTATTAGCCAGGAAGTACTTGTGGCTGTAGGATGTGCGGATCAGTTTATCTTCAGATATTTGAAAATTTAAAGGATACTTAAAACGCTGCCGTATCTCATTTATTTTTATATGAATATTTTGTCATAAATTACGTTGAAACAAATTGGAATGCAATTTATAACCATCGCTAATCATATGAATTGTTACTATCTTGTTAATTTTTCCTGCCTTAAATTTATAACAAAATTTAAGTTTTTTCATTTCTATTATATAGATTTCTTATCTTCATATTTTTTATTATTTCTTATCTCCAACTGGGAGAATATTTAACTGGTCCAATGCGAATTGCATTCATGCGCTTGCAATATTTAAGAAACAGACACCAGAGGTCTGAGGAAAAATTCAGCTTGGCTCAGCTAAACACGATAGTGTGGGAACCAAAAGACGCGTTTGCACGAAGCTTAAAATCGGAAAGATAAAGCTTCGTTTGATTTAGCCTGACAGCTTGCATGCGAGCCCTAAGTCCTGCCACGTGATTTTAATAATGGAATTAGTTCGGCTGAGATTACAATCCTTTCACTGCGGTCAATTAGAGGGCACACCTCTGCCAAGGGTGTTGCTACGCAACGGGGAGCGGAAATAAAAATGCGTTAAATATCCCTAGGTGTTTTATAAGATATACAAAATGTAAAGACATATGTTTGGTACATCATAATGTTTAAATTAAATTTAATGTGTGTTTCAAAATTATCTAACTTGATTAAAAAAATTACTGCTTTTATAAAAACAATTTAAAGTTATTACAATATTGTTGTTAGCATCATTATACTTAGATAAAAATTAAGATACCTTATATATACATTTATAAGCAATTTTTCACCTTTATTTTCTATATTATTTAAAGCTACTCCAGTGTTCTGATAATCTGGTAAGTGCATGAACAAATAAAATTGAATAAGCCCCAAAAAAGTAGCCCTAATCTGGAATAACCTTCGACACCTGTGCCTTTAAACGATCCCATGATGAGAACAGAGGGGTTATAAAGTTGTAATAAGGTTCGGGGTGCTGATGATGTTGTCTGTGACAAATCCGGGTTTTTGGGACTGTGTTTCGAGGGGATTTGCGAGTGTGACGAAATCGTCAACCCTCCCAATTTGCCGCTTAATGAATTCCCATCGACAACAAACAGAATCCGAGGAGTGCTCCTGTTTCTGTTCCTAATTCTATTCCTGTTCCTGGGGCAACCCAATTGTTTGGCCTTTTTGTGGATTGTCACCTTTGTCATGTCACTTTTATTTCATTTTATTCCATCACACCATTTCATTTCGCGTCGAATGCAGTCGAGAGGAGCGTTTTGTAATTGAAATTTGATCCCATTAGATGAGCAGCAGAAGGAATTTTCCCAATCCCAGCCTCAGCCGAGCATCAAATTGCATCGCGTCTGACTTTATACCTATTGCATACATAGACGAATATTTCCAGTTCAAAATTTCAGTAAAATAACAAAATTATTTTATGTATAATATTTAAATATTTTACAAATATATTTTTTATATTTTAAGAAAAGTTTCTGTTTTTAAATAAATGAACACTAATACACAGACTTAAGGTAGTTAAGAATTTTAAAATATTAATAAAGCTAAGAATTACTTATTATAAATATATTAACTATTTTAAAAATTTTAAAAATCATATATTTTAAGTTATTTATTTTCATACCAAAATATGACGTCATAATATAAAACCATGTGTGCTTTAAAGTCTATGGTTCCGATTGAAGAAGCTATTCTGTGTAAAGAGAACTCTTAACACCTCGCCAAATTAGGCAATGCCATGGAAATCCGATGTAAATTCCAAGAAACAGCACACGGGCATTCATCAGACACCCTCAAAAACGCTAATGAGGTCATGATGTTTCCAAATCCAAGACCCTATTCTGCCCCTAGATGGCAACAACAGAAACAAAAGAGAGAACAATGCGAAAAAAGTTATCACAACTGGGAGATAATGGGACAAAATGGCTGCCAAGGGTCACGCCCACCGCCCGAAGGCGAAAAACGGAAACGGAACCACCCCTAAATTGGCCAGATTGCAACCAGTTAACGGTGGCCATCCATCGAAAGCGAAACGGGAACGGAATGGAACGAAACACACCCCTGGAATGCAGTTTTCTTTGGCTTGCAGTCGAGTTTGAAGAGCGGACGAGTAAAGTCGCGAGGAAGCAATCGCTCCCCAAATAAATATAAATAAATAAAAAAATAACAAAAAGTGGTTCAATAAATATATTTACTTCTGTGAAACTAATAGAAATAATAACAAACCAGTCAACAAAAAATAAATAATACCAAATAGTTACAAAATTTATACAAAATCTGATAGGAAAAAAATATCATAAAATAAGTGCTTTTATTAAAAAAACCTAAGTTAAGCTTGCAGATTTTAAAAATAAATAAAATAAGATTTATTCAGTGATTTAAAAAAAAACGTGTGTTGCAAAATCTTAAAAAAGTCTTTTAGATAACAAATGGAAAGCAATTGAACTTCCTTTGAGTTTGTTAAATACATTTTTTGCAAAAAAGAAAAAGGTGATGAAACTAGTGAAATAAAAAGTATACTATAAAAAAGTAAACATGTCTTATTGATATTGTAAAAATTGTTAACCAAAACGATAAACTAAGTAAATTAAATTACCAAATAAACCAACACAAACTGAAAATTGTTCAGTAAGACTGCTGGATAATGTTTGAGAAGAATATGGATGCCAACAATCTATCGGTCTCCATCAGCGGGGACTTGGATTCCACCAGTTCCGGCGGCACATCCTCGGATCACTCGGCTGTCCAGCAGGACAACCTCAGTTCACCGATGGCCTACGGATCACTCTTCCTTCCAAATTCTGGTGAGTGCCACCAGAGCCATGGCTATAGATACAGATACTCGTATCCAAATCGGATCCAACTAGGTCTAGTCTTATCGGTGCAAATAGTCTAGAGACAAGACCGCGAGTATCGTGTTTCGGGACAGAGGCGTCAATGAGGCGCTGCATAAACAATTAAAGCCTGGGACTTTTATTCTGCTGAGGAGCACACATTTTTGAGGATTGCATGTACAGGGTGCATGATGGGGTTATGCAGTCTTTTTAAAGCAGTATTTTCACTTTACATGCAAATTTGTAAATGTATCCCGAGGTTAATCCTGCACTTGGTATTTATTTATTAGGTGAATGGTAATTTTGAGTTTGGTCCTTTTTGATACCTATTGTATAAATATGAGACTGATAATATCAGTATTTTTTTTATTTATGTAAGGTTTAAATTTAATGTTTGATTTATAATTTTCATTTATAGGTGCATTAAGTTTTAATATTAAATTATTTATATTCTTTTTATTTTTGTACGGCTTTATAAATCCTTTTAATGTTCTATTTTTGTAATAACTCTAAATAAATAGGTAAGACATTTCTTATAAATCCTTTTTTTATTACAAGTTTTATAAAGACAGGTGAATTTAGATGTACTATGGTTTTAGCCATGTTCCTAAATCATTTAGGTTTAAAAATATTTGTTTTTTCGATATAAAACTGATTTTTAATAATTGCCGAACCAAAAATCTCATTTAATTACAATTCTATATCATAGTAAACATTTTATTTAAAATCCTTTAAGATATTTTTATCTAAATAACTTTTCTATCTATATAAAGGGCATCCGAAATTCGAAAACTCGTCTTAAGCAATGCACCATCAAATGTATTATGTTTTATAACATTTACATATTCACAACTGCATATCCACACACATTTGCTCGTGCAAATTTGTATGTAAGCATATCGCATTTATTTATTTGCTTGATGTCTCTTTCGGGCCTCAATATGATCCACAGTCCCCGTCTGAGGTGTCGAAAGACGACGATCGCTTTGGTCATGTTGGGTATTCGATTAGTCACATTCTGAATTAGGGGTCCCCCGAGGGAAGGCGGGGCTTTTCATTGACCACCGAAATGGCACGTGAGAAAGAACCAGAAAAGAGCTGATCTGGGGTGTCAGATAGATGTAATCAGATTGAAAATCTCTCAGAAAAAGTTAAGTTCCCAAAATTTTACTATATAAAATAATATTTTTTGTATATGATAGAATTTAGACAGATAGAATCAAAATGTCTAATACATATACATATACAAATTTAGGAACCGGATTTAACTTACTTATCATTATTATAATCTGCAGGTTATCGTGGAAACCTGTCCTGCAAAACAGTTCTGCAACTGGATAAATTCGCACCCTATGAGGGGGCGGAAAAGGATCATCTGCTGGAGCGACGGTTCCAGGACATCACCAACGACTATGATAAGTCGCCGCCGCCCACCGCCTCGACCACGCCCACCCACTATCCCAGCCTGAATAGCATAATATTCGAGAATGGTAGTGGTGGCAATCTGGGGGATCTCAATGGGAACACCAAGACGGATTCCTTGTGCGGTGGCCTGCAGAGAAGTGCAGGTGGATTGGGTGGAAATCCCGGCAGTGGTGGCCACCTCATCTCCAATCTCACAGCCGTCCACAACATGTCCGCAGTGAGCAACTTTCCCACCGATGCCAAAATGCTGCTGTTCTCCACAGATCAGGTGAAGAGTTGTTTCTTATATTCAAAAGAAAGGAGATAATCTTTCTTAAAAATATTGAATAAAATAATATGCAAGAACCCACTCTAATAATGGTCGTTTCCACAGATCCAGTGCATGTGCGAAGCCCTGCAGCAGAAGGGCGACATCGAAAAGCTGACCACCTTCCTCTGTAGCCTGCCGCCCAGCGAATTCTTCAAAACCAACGAGAGTGTCCTGCGGGCCCGCGCCATGGTGGCCTACAACCTGGGCCAGTTCCACGAGCTCTACAACCTGCTGGAGACGCACTGCTTCTCGATGAAATACCACGTCGACCTGCAGAATCTCTGGTTCAAGGCGCACTACAAGGAGGCAGAAAAGGTGCGCGGACGTCCCCTTGGAGCGGTGGACAAATATCGACTGCGGAAGAAGTACCCCCTGCCCAAGACGATCTGGGATGGCGAGGAGACGGTCTACTGCTTTAAGGAGAAGTCGCGGAATGCTCTGAAGGACTGCTATCTCACCAACCGGTATCCCACGCCCGACGAGAAGAAGACGCTGGCCAAGAAGACGGGCCTCACGCTCACCCAGGTCTCCAATTGGTTCAAGAACCGTCGTCAGAGGGATCGCACGCCCCAGCAGAGACCGTAAGTTGACCCAGACTCATAACTGGCATAGAAATTACACCTACGACATAGTTAATCACTGAAAGAAACTAAGAACTGAATTAACATATTAAAAATAATGCTTATTTTGGGAAATAAGACCTCAATTCGGCAATACATCCATAAAATATTCATTATATCAAAATGATTTCAGACATTATTTATGAAATTTACAATTAAAATCTCAAAAGAAATGCATATTTCCTGAGTATATTTCTATAAAATATGAAATCATTATACTTTTACATACAGAACTTGATGAGACTTCATAAAGATGGCTACTAAAACTTTTTTAAAGTGAAAGTATCCTATTGCTATATCTTTTTTCTACTCCCAAATTCTAAGCTATTTCCGCTTCGAGTGTAGTTAGATTTTCTTCAAATTCGGCTAAACTCCAGCATGAAAACTCGTTTGGTAAAGGGAGAACCTAACCCCGGCATGCTCATTTCCATTTCCTCATAACTCGTAAAACAATTCATTCAACACTTGAGCGTGTTTCGCCCTAGAACCGAACGAACTTCGAAATCCGAACGAATATAATCAATTGTTTTGGAATTGGCATTAAAAATCGTTTGTAAGTGACCGTAAAGCACTTGTGCGTCCAGTCCGCCCACTTGAGCGTGTTTTATGTCCAATTTCGGCCGGCTCCTTGCACGGTCCTCTGCATATTAATAGAGCCAAGGGACCCGGGACGTGCCCGGCTCCTAACGCAGCGCATGCGTGTAGCATGTGCCCCTCATCGCACCCCGGGTCCCGCTGTTTGATCGCACCCCCTCTGCACGGGCGTCGAATTGCAGCACATACACCATGCCACACATACCACACTCGAACTCACAAGTGGAGTAAATGTGTTCCTTTAGCTGTTAAAAAATACACAGTCTCACTTCCATAACTAGAACCATCTTGAGATCGCAACAGAAATTTATGAAATGGAGGCTTTGAGTTACAAAAATGATTATTTTGATATTTTATGGACATTTTATAGTTTTAAAGTGAGAACTTATAGAACTACTTTTATTACCGAAAATACTCAGCTATTAAAATATTTTATAATTCGTTTTAAACTTCCATCTTAAATGTATATTGGTACTTAATCCAGTTTTGAAGTTTGAAAAATATGAATTACCTATAGGTATTATAAGCAATCTTACACACATCTAATATTTGTTTGGCATTTGGGTTATGTGTGTACATATTTTGACAAATTTCAAGATTATCACTCTAACTTCCATTGTTATTTCTTTCATTTCAGTGATATTATGTCGGTGCTGCCTGTGGGCCAATTGGATGGAAATGGCTTCCCGCGCATGTTCAATGCCCCAAGCTATTATCCCGAAACGATTTTCAATGGGCAATAAACTGCGATCCATGCGAGGCTGTTTTTTCGTGTAAATAAAGCGTAATGCGTTTTTATGTTAGGACAAAAGCAAATGGAAAACTGGTCATCAAATGGCACATCTTCGTTAGCTTTAGAATAAACTAATTTTTGCTTTATGTATTGTACAATACTAATAATAAACAAATGGTAGTAGATCAATAAACTCGATTAACTAAATATAAGTTTGGTTGTTTTATTTAAGAAATGAGGTAATAAATGAAGTACAAAGTAATGAACAAGGTAATTTTTGCAATTGCAATTTATCTGCCTCTAGAAAGCTTTCCTTTCTTCGGATTTTCGGCTCAAATGCTCCATCTTTATTCTTTTCTTTTTAAGTTTTTGCAGAAGCACTAGTTTCATCAGACGATGAGGAAGTGCTATTTTGATTGTATTTATTTTACCGCCATATTTTACTTGTACATTTCACCAAGCAACGGATTTTCAAAATTTTTCCATTGGCGCCAGTCACAGTCGCAGTCACTGTGACAATAACGATAGTGCCATCTCCAGTTAGTTATCGATAGGCAATCTGGAAGTAATCGAATATTTATTTTTTATAAACTTTCCGGAGTGCTGGGAGAAATTCCGCAAAGTTGCACCGGACTGGCTGACTGCTGCTTCCCGGAAAATGTCCAATGTTTTTTTAAGTTAAAGTTTAATTAAAGTGTCCGACTAAATATAGCTAGTTACGCATCTCCATACGATAGGGTGCACATCGATATGAGAAGAGAGTGGCACAATACAGAGTGGTACACTACACTACCTTTTTGCAAAAGACATGTCAAATAAAATAAGCGAATATTTTGCGAACGATCCGCCCAGTTTCTTCGATGAGCTGGCGAACAAACCCAAGTCCAAGGACTTGCCAGCAGAAGGAGGTTCCAGCAGCAACAACACCAGCTCCGGCACAAACATGATGTCCAACACCTTCACCGGATTTTTCCAGCCACCTGAATTTGTTGAGACACCTGAGACAGGTGAGGACGCCATAAAAGTCACGGACGAGGTGCGAAATCTATGGGAGTTGCCCCGGGAAAACGAGTCGGGCAAACTGATAATGCCGGGCATCCACCTACAAAATGACTTGGTAAGTAATAGCCACCGTCCCTCACTGAATTACTTATCCATTTGTTTACCATTTGCCACTCCAGGCGGATCCCATCAGTGTAGCTGTGACCCAACACCTTGGAGAGGCCGAGTTGTCCTACCGCAAAATCCTGCGCGTCGATGATGTCACCCAGGACGAGCGTGGATTGAGGACCCTCATCCACGCCGGTTGCTATCGCACAGCTGTGAATCTAACTGGCCGCCTTTTGACCATTTACGGCCAGGGTTATGGGAGATCTGGTCAGCCGGCCAAGCACTCGCCACACTCCCTGCAGCTTTGGTTCACGCGCCTCGCCCTCCTCGCCAAACTGGGCGAGTTCGAGCTGTTAAATGCTGAAGCTGAACCCTTTGGCCAGCTCAGGAGCGCCGACGTCTTCTACGACTTTTATCCGGAGATGTACAATGGCAAGAGCGGATCAATTGCCTGCTTTTCGTTCCGCCTTTTGCTGGCAGAGCTGCCCATTTACCTGGGCAAACCACACATCGCCTTGGACAGGCTTTCAGAGCTCCATGTCACCAGCCGGGAGATCAAAGAGCACTACAATAATCTGCGCAACAAGACCGCCGAGGAGTTTTGGCAAAGGCGATGCGAGAGGGTATTGCATTCGATCATCAACTGTGGATTGATGGTGAGTTTGAGGGGAGAAAGTACTTACAGATCAAAATGTGAAAACTTACTTCTTACAGATGAAGAAATTCAGTATGATAGACGACATAATGGAGGGAACCCTCCTAAAGCGCTCTAACCTGAGCAAGGAGGACCAGCGTTCGTTGTACTCCGCGTGGGGACGCATTTATCTGCAAATCGGTGATATCTTTGGAGCAGAACAAAAGTTCGCCGTCTCGAGGAGACTAAGGGAAATGTAAGTTGTGACTAAAAACGAAAGAACTTGGATCTATTTTGTATATTTTCATTTTTAGAAACTCATCGCCAGACCTGAGGGACTTGGTGGATAAGGGGCTAATAGCTGTGGCCAAAAACGATTTTCCCGAGGCCTATGTGATATTCCAGAAGGCTCTGCACTTGGACAGCGGCAACACAATGATCCTCAACAATATGGGAGTGTGTCTTCTGTACGCCGGAAAGCTCAAGGATGCTATAAACTTGTACGAACGCGCCATTAACCTGAATCCCCAGAAATCCCTGAACGAAAGTTTGCTGGTCAATCTTTCCACTTTATACGAACTGGAGTCGAACAACTCAAAGGCGAAAAAGTATAACCTGTTGCGGCTAATTAACCGATACAAACCGGATCTCAACATAAGCATAGAAATTTGTCTAAAACTGCAGACGATAAATTAGAAATAAAAAGTTGTTAAACATTCCAAAAAGCAATCTTCAAAATTGTAGGATTCTATCAAGGACTCAAACCGTGACTTGTGTCCCGGGTATATTCGTCGATATATTTAGAGTGACCGTTTTGATCATTTTTTTATTCGATTACACCATTCGATAGCGATGTTCGATAAGCCAGGTGACTGCCCGAGTTTCGTCGCTGAAAAAGAATTTGAGAAGACTTTTTACAAATTTCCATAGAAAATCGCGGGAATATTTACGTCCAGAGCACGCCTAAATGTTTGCAAACACGTAGCGCGTATTTATCAGACTAGGATAGTTGAAACTAGGTGAGTTTTGTGGCGTTTCAGGGCGTTTCGAGTATAGCCACACGATGCCAGGCAGCAGCAGCAGGCGTATATAAAATGGAAAATATTGATGTGCCTGCCTGTGCCTTTGGTGGGTGCAAAAAAGAAAGTGTAGAGAAATTTTCGATGCACTCAGAATGTTGTTTGTTTACCCCGCTGTCCAGCCGACACCCCGAATTCAACCGATCTGATTAAACGTTGCGAAATCCCGAATTGATTATGTTTTTTTCCTTTAATTTTTAGCGACTTCGTTGCGAGAGTTGTTGTTGTGGGTGCATTATAAAAAGCGCGCCATTATTTTAGTGCTATGACGTAGCCGTCGGGGGCCACGAAACCAAGTGTATTATTTTCGAAATTGTTTATATGGCGTGCATAATATGCCTGCACTTCGTGCGGGTGTGTGTGTGTGCGATTAGTTGTGAGTGTGTGTGTGCGAGTGCAGCAAATAATTTTGTATATTTTTTATTCTGCTGTGGCGGTGCGCATACGCTTGGTACACGCTCGTCAAAACATATACACATAACCCAGGCAGAAAATCTCTATTCTTTTGCAATTTGTTTTGATTTCTCATTCGCGCGAGAGTGCGAGCGCGTTTACTCTCCCGCTCTCTTCGGCTCTCTCGCTCATGCGCGGCGCCTCTCTCTCCTTTTCTTAGTTTCCTTCCCTTTGCGTGGGCGGCGAAATTACTATTTTCTGGCTTTGGGATACTCTTTTATGATTTTTGGGCATATTATGGCCCCAACTTTAGTGACAATTTCCGCCACCCCCCACGATCCCCACGCATCATTTCGCCCGACTCGAGCGCGCCCCAATCTTCCTTACGTTTGCGAGCGCCCGATCTCGCTCCGCTGATGTCGACTGGCCGACTAACGGCAGTTATACATAGCTCTCTGGTGGTGGTTTTCGGTTTCTTCGATTCCGACGCGCGCTCACTTCATTATCTGCTGCGATGGCAATGCTATGTTGGCTATTTTTTGGCCAGAGCTGGATTTATTTAAATCTGATTTAGTGGGGCATAAACTAACTATTATTTTTTTTTTACTATGAGGTAGTTTAAATAGTGAATAGCCCGTGCAACTTATATTTCTTATATACTGATATAATTTGTAAGGTTAGCTTAGGAAAGACCATTGGTAATCAAAGAAGCTTGGTTTAACTTGGTAACGACCATTCTTAATAATTTAAAACGGTAACTTCAAAATTCGAAATAGGTATATTTTTTTTAGTTAGTATGACTGTTTTGTTTTCTTTATATATATGTTATTACCCACTTAAAATTGATGAAATTCATTTTTAGTTTTCTTATTTTTGTGTATATTATAAATAATTGTATTTGTCATTATAATGATTCATCACCAATAGATTTAGCTATTAGCTAAGATAAGTCCAGCTCTGTCACCACTTAACATTGATTATTGTTTCTTCTCACTGCCTCTCTCTTTTCTCCCCCTCCCCTGCCAACCCAATCAGCCGTTGCTCTCGCTCTCCGATTGTAAACATTTGTTTTTGTTTACCTTGCTCTTGCAGAATTAACCCGCAGCATGGCAGCTAACAGCAACAATAGCAACATACACAACCTGGGCGCGGGGTCGGAGGGCCTGCTGTCCTCCGTGATTGCGTCGACGGGAACGCCGGGTATGGGATCCTCGCCTGCTCCAGTCGTCACCAGGTCCGCCGCCTCCTCCGCCGCGCAGAGTGCCTGGGATCAGCTGACGGCGAGTGCCTCCAACAACATGGCTCCGTCGCCCACGGCAGGAGCCCCCATGGTCACGGGACCCATATTGGCAGACAATCCGGGCAGCGGGGCGGGCAGTTCACCTGTAGCCAGCTGCTCATCCCCCTCGACGCCCACAAAGACACATGCTCCCTCGCCGCTGGAGAGCATGGGCCACACGCCGCAGGGTCCACCAACCCTGGGACCCGGCGGCTATGGCGAGGAACTCACCGCTGAGCTAGTGAATCAGGGATGGCGCAAGTTCTGGTCCAAGCGGGAGAACCGGCCTTACTACTGGAACAAGGTCACCGGCGAATCGCTGTGGGAGATGCCCGGCACTAGGCCCTTTGATCCTCTTACAGATCCCCTGGGCATCTGCCATGCCGGTGGCCCCACGCCGATGACGCCCAATATGCACCAGCAGCAACAGCATCAGCACCACCATCATCACCTTAAGCGTCGGCCGTCGGACGACATGCACATCCATCCCAATCAGCAGCACCATGTGGGCGGTGGACCGCCGATGAAGAAGTTCGTCCTTGCCGGACCCTGGGATCTAGAGGTGTGCACCAATGCGGTGATTGTGGAGCGGCCGCCCACACTTCTGCCGCAACCTCATCCCGAGGTGGAGGCTCTACGGGCAGCCTATAGCATGAAGCTCTTGAAAACCTACGAGGATCTGTGCATGCGGAGGGAGAATATAAAGGCACCCAGGGATTCCTTCAATCGCTGGCTGATGGAACGCAAGGTCATCGACACCGGTTGCGATCCGCTGCTACCGAGCAGCTGCCTGCCGGAGATCTCGAGCTCTATGTATCGCGAGATCATGTCGGATATACCCATCAAGATAGTGAAGCCCAAGTTCACCGGGGATGCCAGGAAGCAGCTTTCCCGCTACGCAGAGGCAGCCAAGCAGATCATAGAATCCCGATCGGCACCGGCTGAATCCAAGAAGGTGGTCAAGTGGAATGTGGAGGACACGTTCCAGTGGCTAAGGCGAACAGTGGGCGCCAGCTACGAGGACTTTCAGGATAGGCTGGCCCACTTGAAGCGGCAGTGTGAACCGCATTTGGTGGAGACCGTCAAGAGTTCCGTGGAGACCCTGTGCGTTAAGATCTACCATTTGTCAGCCGATCACGCCCGGAAGATAAGGGAGCGGCATTTGCAGCTGCTCAAGGAGCACGGAATACCGGAACCAACGCCTCCGCCGCCACCACCGCACTTAAAGAAAGTGTGGTGCTATCCTATACAGTTCGCCGTCCCATCGCCACGGATGCCGACGATCGAGTACTTACAGGATCGCGACCACATGATCATCAAGTACACGCCTGCCACGATCAATCAGCCGGATGCGCAGTACATCAACCTCACCTATCTGCAGAAGTTGGAGCAGCTGTACCGCCACAACTGTTTCGATGACAAGAAGTTTGATCTGTTCATCGGTCGGGTGTGGTGTCTGCTCAAACGGTATCAGACCTTTCTGGGCAACGCCTTGAATTCCTCCCAGGAAGCCGAGCTCACCCAGGCGGCCCTGCCGGTGCCGGTGTTTGAGTGCCTGCATCGGCACTTTGGCGTAAGCTTCGAGTGCTTTGCCTCGCCATTCAATTCCTATTTTCGGCAGTACTGCTCGGCGTTCGCCGACACGGATGCCTACTTCGGTTCCAGGGGGTAAGTAACCCATCAAATGCATTGTAATCATTTTGAGGTAACTGGGATTGGTGTCCATACAGCCCCTTCCTGGACTTCAAGCCCGTTTCCGGGTCCTTCCAAGTGAATCCTCCCCATTGTGAGGAGTTGATCGAGGCCTCTTTGCTGCACATTGACAAACTGCTCACCGACACCATGGAGCCACTAAGGTGAGATTCAACGTTTACTTAGTTGTCAATACACATATACCTAACCTTCTTAATTTATAGCTTTATTGTATTTCTGCCGGAGTGGAAGAGTATATCTAAGCTGGACGAGAGCATGTACAAGCGTCGTTCCATGGTGGTTTTAGGCATGGCCCATGAGTACAGGCACGGCTACCAGCACATGTTGCAAAAGTGAGTTGAACTATGGCACCCCCAAGCATACATACTTACCAATTTAAAATTCTTTGAAGATCCGATGTGCTGATCAAGTGCATGCAGGGCACCCAGGTGGTGTGGCTGCAGAACAGCGCCGGATACGCACGCTGGGGACCCAACGAGATTCGTGTGGAGGCTCTGCGCGAGGCCTTCCGACCGCAACGTGATCGAGAGCGCGAACGGGCTGCAGTTGCGGCGGCAGCAGCTGGCGTGAACTCCAGCCAGCAATCGCCAGCGACGCCGCCATCCTCCGCCACGGTGGCTTCAACAATCAACTCCAGTACGAACAGTGGAGTCAACAGCAACAGCTCCTCCGCAGCCATTACAACGAGCGCGAGCAGCTGTCCATCGCCGGCCACCACATCGTCCTCGATGTCGCCCTTGTCTCCGCACACGCCCACCGGCAATCCGCCGCCACAGTTCCCGATGACCATCAGCAACACCAGCAGCAGCAGCAACCTGGTGGCCGCGTCTCCCACGATGAGTGTACAGAGCGATTGCTCTTCTCCATCGTCCTCGACGATGAGCCTTTCACCCGCTCCTGCTTCGGGCGGCTACCCGGATGGAGGGACATCGGCCACAGCAGCAGCCGTGAGCATTACAGCCACGGCGAGTACATCGACGGCTGGAACCGGATCTGCATTTGGCCAGGCCAACAGCATCAGTAGCTCAGCCTCAACGCAGGCGGTCATCAATTCAGCCGTCTAGAGGGGATCCTTTCTGGGATCCTACTATCCATACATGGTTCTATTTTGTCCACACTATCTGTGCACTTTCTGTTAGGCATAAACTAGGGATACAGTTGAGGAAGAGGAAAAACAATTGGGTTAAATGTCAATCGACCGGCCATGTTTCCAATTGCAAGGTTTTATTTTGTGGAATCGGAAGCGATAATGAGGTTCAATTTCTATATATTCTAATCTAAAACGGAAGCCGAAAGAATACCAATTTCTATTTGTCTGAAAAAGTACAATTTCTAAATTCCGTTTCTAATAAGTATAATTGGAATCAGGAAAACGCGCAATATTTTGTTAGTTTTTATTACAAAAATTAAAATTTTTAAATTTACACATTGTTCAGTACAGCCGATTTAGTTTGGCACAAAGGTTAATTTTATTAACTAAGATTGCTAAATATTTTGTTACGCATTCTTTCAATTTTTAAAAAAAGCTTTAATTTTGAAATGTACACAGTGCTCGGCCTTTGGCAGCTGGTATTGCCCCAATCGCAAGATATAATTAATTGTAAATATGTTATATTTAATTTGAAATAGCTGATAAATCCCGGCCTGGCCGCTGTTTATCGTATATAACGAGTATACCCAACAAACAAGGGCCAAGCTACCCGAAAAAAGACTCTAATTGCATACTTAGTATGGGTAGGGGTGTGGTTCTCTATCCTTGTTTCAGGGTATTCGGCAATGGTGTTCCATTCATAAAACAAATCGTAAAATAAAACACATTAAATCGAACTAAGAAGCCCTTAACAATCTTTTGTGAGACTATTAACTTACTAGAATACATTTACTTTAAAAGAAAATTACGGCAAAAAAATATTTGAATACTAAATTATCATATGTACAAATCGATAACACTTAACGTAAGTAGTAAAGGAAATTAAATGAAGATTGAAGCGAAATACGGAAAGCGCAGAGAACCAAATTTGTAATTAAAACAAATCATAACTACGCACCGCACAATAAATAAATAAATTAAAACCCATTTAGGATCTGGGTGTGGGCTCCTTGACGAGTTCGATTACAACTCATTGAGCAGCTCCACTCCGCATATTCTAAAATCAAACTAACGTGAATTTAGCCAATTTATAGAAAGTAGCACTCGGCAAAATTTTTAGAAACCAATTATCGTCTAAGTCGAAATTTATTATCTATACCGATATGCTACCCCCACCCCGTATGTACCGATAAAAACAACTACACAAAAGCATTTTTGCGCTTAATTAAACAGTTTCTTTAAATTCAAACCTGTTATTATGTAAACATTTTTTATTATTACATTATATAGACATCGTATCGCATAAGTGTGTATATGTGAGTGTGTGTATGTACTTTTGGATATGGATTAGCTGTTGACTATAAAGAAAACTTAAACGCTATAAACGCAAAGCAAAAAACCAAAGAGTCTTACAGGCATTTAAGGGAAAACCCAATTTACAATCGTTCTGCAGCCTAACTATATACTACATCCTATATAGCCAGCCTCGTATTCTAAATGCATTACATGATCTCCAAGCTGGAGTCGCTATTCTTGGTGACCACCTCGGTCTCCGAGGATCCGGATCCGGAGCCAGCATCATCGCCCTTCTCGTTGTCGTCGGACCCACTGTGCCGATGATGATGATGCGGAGAGCCGGCCAGCTGCCAGGCGGGAATGGATGGCACTGCAAGGGGGGCCACGGGGCCGGGGAACTGTTTCCTGTTCAATAGCAGACCCTTGATGGCATCCAGATCGCTGCGGAAGTTGCTAAATTCGCGGTTCAGTTGCTGGGAATGCTCCCGCTGCTGGCTGGTAATCAGATCCCTGACCGCCGAGATCTCCTTGTTGAGGTCGTTGGTGCGCGTCTCCACCTTCTTATCAATGTCGTCCAGAACCTCATCGACCGGCTTCTTCTTGGGCTTGCCAAACAGGTAGGGCGCAATGTATTTCTACAAAAATATTACACAGTTTTAGAAGTTTATAACGAATTATATATATATTTAGTAAATTAATTTTATGAGTCACTAAATTCTAGTATTAGGTCACCCAAAATGATCTTAGAACTTTAAATGCATTAAATGAATATATATACATATTAATTTTTTCTAAGAGCAATAACTATATACATGGTTAATGTGTACTAAATAAATACTTTACTCCGTGACAAATCTTAAGTGTCAATAACGATTTATGTACGTTAGCTCGACATGAGCTATGATCTTTGGACTCTCACTCCGGTTTATGAAGTAATTAGGTACATTAAATCTTTTTTTATTTGGTGCTTACATATTCAAGTCTAGAGACCAGTTCATATAAACTCAATAAAGTTTAATTTAAATGTGTGTTTTCTATGACCCAAATATATTTGATAATAAAGTATTAGACTACCCACTTTAATAAAATAAGGTATATAAAACCCTGAATTGGAACTAAGAATTTAGCTAACGATAGGGAATTACAAGTACCGACCTCTTAGAAGTATGGGTTCCTAAATTAAATAAAAAATATTAGCTCACATGTGCTGCCTGATAGTAGAATACCTATAACTGAGATAGCTATGGTTCAAAGTAACTTCTATATGTAACTAGTAGAATCCCTGAGAGATAGAGATCACTCACCTTCCAGAAGAGGTAGACGGCGTACACCACTCCGCTGAATAGGGCGGCCGAATGGATCATCTCCCGGATCCTCCCGAGGACCGTCGGCTGCGGCTGCAGCGCCTGCCACTGGGATCCAATGCTGATCACCGTATTGGGACTGGGATTCGGGTTGTTTGGGTCCTGGGTGAAGACGCCGGCACGTTCGCAGGCCAACTGGATTTCGTGAGCGGTGAGACCTTTGGACCGCAGGAACTGCTGCTTCTGGATAAGCGTCGTGTGGCGCACTTTGGTGTTTTGTAGAAAGCTGACTGCAGTGGTTATCTGCGGCGAACAGTCGGATTATAGATTAGACAAACTCGAGGGGGTCACTTATTACCAGCGACTCTCGGGGCAGCTGCTCCTCGCCGCCGGCCTCGATGTCCGCCGTGGCCATAATGGTTGTGTCCCCGGTGTCCGTGTTGTTGCTGGACATCTGTATATCGACCCTTAATTCAATTTTGGCAAGCTAATCCACACGAAAACGGAGCGACCCGATTTCAGTCGCAATTCGATCGTAAAAAGTTTCGGCCCAAACAAAAGTGTGACCAAACGCTAGGGTGCTACTGAAATCATTAACGCGTTAGGGATTTCCACGGGGACTAGGTGAGTGGTGGGTAGAATTTGTGACGTCAAGATGTCATTTAAATAGATACATATTTCGTTTCTCTACATTTATTGGTTTTTAAAACTTTTTAAACAGATATCTTGTTGTTTTGTATGTGATCCAACTTAAGTTATTTTTTAATCAACTCCAATTTAAAAAAACAACTTGTTTCACCTTCCGATTATTCGCATGAAATCCCTAACGCCTCTCCCAAAATCCCACAGCTGCACCAATTTGAATTACCTATAGGGTAGGCGGACTTTCCTCACTTTTAATAAGTTTTCCGGGGAACAGGCTATTTTCCGGATATCATGGATACTCTGAAGGGCATGCTGAAAGCGTACGAGGCGTGGGTGGCCAAGAACCCGGATGTGGTGGGGGATTTCGAGACCACCGCCAAATGGGTGTCCTACTTCATAGCAGGTAAAGTAAACTTTGTGTTTACATGGAACCCAGACAGCTAACTTTTGGCCGGGTTGCAGGTCGCATATCCTCACCGAATGTCCTCCGCGAGCTGGTGTACACGTTATCCAAATTGTTGGTGTTCTACAACGATCGGATCATCAAGCGGGCACGTAACGCCCGGGAGAATTCGGTGATCCAGCTGCAATCGAAACTTTAGTTATTTTTTAATCCACGGCAATTAAAAAAAAACAACTTGTGTCACCTTCCGATTATTCGCATGAAATCCCTAACGCCTCTCCCAAAATCCCACAGCTGCACCGATTTGATTTACCTGTAGGGTAGGCAGACTTTCCTCACTTTTATTAAATTTTCCGGGGAACAGGCTATTTTCCGGATATCATGGATACTCTGAAGGGCATGCTGAAAGCGTACGAGGCGTGGGTGGCCAAGAACCCGGATGTGGTGGGAGATTTCGAGACCACCGCCAAGTGGGTGTCCTACTTTATAGCAGGTAATGTAAACGTTGTGTTTACATGGAACCCAGAGAGCTAACTTTTGGCCGGATTGCAGGTCGCATATCCTCATCGAATGTCCTCAGCGAGCTGGTGTACACGTTATCCAACATGCTGGTGTTCTACAACGATCGGATCATCGAGCGGGCACGTAACGCCCGGGAGAATTCGGTGATCCAGCTGCAATCGAAACTTTGCTACCGTCTAAAGGTCACGCTGACGACACTTGAGTACAGCGAGGTGTTCATCGAGATATCAGCCCGCCGGCTTTTCGGTCAATCCGGCAGGTGGCTAGTGATAGCGCTAATACAGGCCTTCAAGGCGGCGGGGCGATTCTTTATCTTGAAGCACTCCACCTCGGATATAATCACCTCGCCGCCCATTGCCTCCCTGAATCGCAGGGCCCTGGGCAAGCAGCGGAAATCGTCGTCGGCGGATGAGGTGGCCTCCTCCTCGAATGATGTGCTGCAGTCCCACCACTCCATAACCTTCCAGCTGAAGCGATCCGGCCGAGTGATTCGCAAAGTTGAGGGTGCTCCTCCGCTGCAATATCGCGACTTCAAGCTCCACATAGACAACAATGAGGCGGAAAAGACGCAAATACCTAGGAAACTGCTCCAAGCCGAGTACCTGTATATATCGAAGCCCCTCATCCACCTGGCCGCCATGGGATTGTTCGGCCAGAGGAGCTGGAAACAGTATATGGTGGCATTGTCGATCGATCTATACAGCATACACTTGTATCGCCAGCACCGCGACCTGATGTCCAAGCAGCAGAAACTGGAGTTGAGCAGGCGATGCATCAACATCCTGTACTTCCTGGTCCGATCGCCGTTCTACGACAACTTCACCAAATCCCGACTGGAGCGAGTCCTGGACTTTGTGGCCACTAGTGTGCCCATTGCAAAGGTGGTGGCCGGACCCCTCAAAGACTACATTCCCACGTGGCAAAGCACTTACTTCTATCTATGGTCCACTTAGGCATTCCACAGATAGAGCTAAAGTATTTCCCCTAGGCTAAGTCGTAAAGTAACAGGTGTGGATGCATTGGGAGTGTTCAGCGGGTGGGTCGGTTCTACAAATTTGCGGAGCAGAAAGTAAGTCCTTGTAAAACTAAAGAATGTACGAGATTACCTGACATAATTTTGATAAAATTGCCAAAATAAAATATTACCTTTACTCTTAAAAGCATATATATTTTTAAAGAAAATCAAATCGCCAGATTTCTTTCCGCTCCTAAGAATTTCGAGTTGTCCCGCATTCCTTAAGTTGACCCATCCTAATGTGTGGGATTGCCTCTATTTAAATGAAAAATTCCATTTGATCCCATTTGTTTTGTATGGCTTTTTAAATTATATATGGAACAATATTTTTACACATACAATTAAACGAAATTTTTCACTTACGTCGCTAACTATACATAACAATTAATAGTAATCGTAATTGGCTAAAAACACACAGAATCCGACTTCGAATCAGAACTTCAGACTGAATCCCGGTCCCATGGCCAGCTGGCGTTGCGTTATCCCAGCGTTCAGGACGAATCCCGTGCTGGCCGACGAACCACCAGCTGCGTGGCTCTTCTTGTTCCCGGTGATAATGCCAGATGAAAGCTTGTTTCCCGGACCCACGGCGATGGGATCGTCGCGGCCCAGTTGCTTGAACTGCGAGCCACCGGACGGCGGCTTGGGCGACGAGGCCTGAGCTTTGCGGGCCCCGAGTTCACTCTTGGCCGGCCAGGTGGGAAACATGGAGGGATCGATGGGCAGTGGCAGCTCCTTAAAGTAGCCGTGCTTCAGAGCCGCGTCGGCCGTCAGTCTTTGTTTCGGATCGAACGTCAGCAGGCCCTGCAGTAGCGACAGTCCCATGTCGGAGGTCTTCTCCTGGAAGTGCTTGCGCAGCTGCGAGACGGGATACTCTGTGAACTGAGAGTTCTGCGACAACATGTTCTTCACGGCGGGTAGCTCGGTGTAGCCGGGCCAGATCTTCTCGTTGGGGGTGCCCAATTCCTGGAAAATCAATAAAAGAAAAGGGTTAATAAACAGTGATTGGATAGGTGATAAGCAGCATTCCTACCTTGAAGATCCTGTTCAGCTCATCGATCTCCGATTTCCCCGGGAAAAGCGGCAACATCTGCAGGAATTCGGCAAAAATGCAGCCCACCGACCAGACATCGATGGGCGTGGAGTAAACGGGCGAACAGAGTAGCAGCTCAGGTGCACGGTACCACAGAGTAACCACTAGCGATGTGTACTTTTTGATTGGCGATCCGTACTCTCTGGCCAAGCCAAAGTCGCCCACTTTAAGAATGCCCTTGTGGGACAATAGAAGGTTGGAAGTCTTCAGGTCACGATGCAAGATCCAGTTGTCATGGAGATGTGCCACCGCCTTCAGGAGCTGTTGCGTCAGGCACTTGACTTCTCCGGGGAAGAAGCTCTGCTTACGATTCTTCATCGTTTCCATCAGAGATTTAAGATCGTGCTCCACATAGTCCATAACAATAAAGATCTTGTCCATGTTGGAACCGACCACAATCTCGCGAACGGTAACAATATTCGGATGCTGGCCCTTGAGAAGAGTGTTGATCTCCCTGAGGGACGTTATGGGAAAGCCTTCCTTTTCCTTCTCCATCTTTAACCGCTTGAGGGCCACAATCTCGTTGGTCCTTTTGTCCTTGGCACGATACACCACGCCGTAGGTCCCCTCTTCGATGCGATTGAGACACTGGAATTCCTCAACGGAGCGGCAGCCCTGCACGCCGGGATAATAATTGGGCAGGGGAACGCCCTTGTCATCGCATGGAACTTGTTCCTCCAGTGATTTCTGTGCCTTTTCCTTAAGTTTCTCGTCCGGCTTTTCTTCCGACTGCTGTTGAGTCATTCCGCGCTCCTCGCTGCGTGTGCTGCTACTGGGTGAGGCAGCTGTTCCTGCATCCCGCCTATCCTCCTCATCCTCCAGGCTGCTTTGACTCCGGGAACGAGATCTGGAGCGACTGCTCCGGCTGGACTGGGAGCTGCTCTTGGAGCTGACAGAGCGAGATCGCTGGCGCTGCTTCGGTGACTTGTAGAGCTCACCCACGCTGAGTGGACTGTCGGGCAAGGGCAAATCCTCGTCGTCATCCTCCACCTGTGGCTTGGATTTGATTTTGCTCTTCTTTTTGCTAGCATAGCTTTCTTCGCTGCCCGATTCTGTGGCGCTCTCTGCGCTGTCCACCTCGGGATCCTCCTCGTTGGAGTCGCTCTCCTCGCTTTCTTCATCCTCATCATCCCGAATGACCTCGACCTCCTCCTCCCGCCGCTTCTTGTGTTTGATCTCCTTCTCGTAGCTATCTGGCTTGGACTTCCGCTTGACTTGAATGTTCAGGCCGGCGGTTACGCTGGCAGCCACTGCTGTTGGACTCAGTGCATCACTGTGCTCGTTTCGCTCGCGTAGCAACTCCCGCCGAGCCTCCAGTTCCTCACGAGCCGTCTGCTTTCGCTGGCGACTGTCACGCTCGGCGGCGAGGAGCTTGTCCCTGCGAGCCAACAACTCCAGGTCCTCGTTTACCTTTCTTCGGCTGACCTCCACCTCCTCGCGCCACTTGCTGCGATGCGACTTGTGCTGGTGCTGATGTTGGTGCTCCGTTTCGGGACTGTCCAGCAGCTCGATGACGCGTTCGTGGCGGCTTTGCTTGTGGCTACTTCGCCCAGTCCGCTCCCGCTCCTTGCGACCACCTTCGCGTCGCTCACTCCGCTCGCCACGATGCTCGTAGTTCTCCTCTGTTTCATAGTCCTTAACGTAGTTATGCCGCTTTTTCAGCAGCCTGGAACGCAAATCCTGCTCCAGGCTCTCCGCATCCTTGCTCTCAGCGTATTTACTACCGCGTCGCGGTTGCTCCTCCATGGGATAGTCGCCGTGTCGACTGCTCGAGTGATAGCCCGACGGATAGGAATGGTAATCGCCACGGGGAGCAGCCCTCGCTCCGCCTAAATGCTGGTGATGATGGTGGTGGTGGGCAGCATAGCTGGGAGCCGGCGGCATGGGATGCTGCTGCTGTTGCGGCGGCTGCGGGTAATGGTAGGCGTGGCCCAGGTGGTGTTTCTGATATGCCGCAGCCACATTACTGCCCCTATCGCGATGGTGATGGTGGTAGTGCTCCTCCCGGTTTCGATAATCATAGCGATGATCGCGTTCCGGTCCTAGTCCGGCGCCACCGCCAACATCATCCCGCTCCTTGTGGCGTCGACGTTCGCGGGAATGTTTCTTCTTCTCTCGCCTGGAACCGGATCCCGATTCCCGACTGGCCTGCGGTGGTTGTATGTACAGAGCATCGGAGTCCGCCTCGTGCTCATCATCCTCGCCTCGGCTAAAAGTAAGAAAGAAATTCCAAAATTATGGTGTCATGCTTTATGTGGTGTCCCATCTGCTGATGATTCTGGACCGATGCCTGACGTTGACCCTCGACCCAGTTGACCAGGCGCTGCTCTGACCATGTTGCGTGTCGCAGGTAGCAGGTTGCACGTTGCTGCAGTCGGTGTTGCGGATTACATTTTACACTTGCCCTTGGAGGCCTTAAAAACTCGAGTCCACGCTAGCTCTGGAATTCTTTCGAGATTAGATACAGAAACTTTGGTGCAGTACATAAGCGGATTAAGTGTTTATTTGAGGCAATCGTTTCGGAGATGCTTAGATAGGTTGGTGGTGGTATTATCCCATATCAAAGCAGCAACGAGTGCAATTTGGTGGATCGATTTATAGACACATAAACAAAATTGGAAGTCATGGAGACGATAGTATATCTACAAATATTTGTATGATACATTAAAGCTCGAAATGTGTGACCAACAATTTAAAAAACATTTGTTTAACTTTATATTTACTGGAACTGTATTAGTTCTATTGATAGAGTATAAATCATATCGATATTATGCTTTTGTCAAGCGGTTCTAATTAATGAAGCTTCGGCCATAAATAAAAATCGCCCCACCATTGAGTGCTTTCAAATGGAGTACTTACCTGATCCCGGATCCCGTGACTATTCCATAGAGCTCGGAGCTCCGAAACTTCCAAGGGCTGTAAAATGCAAACACTTACACGACTGACTGCGCAACCTGCTGGGAATGGGAGTTATCTTTTGAGAGACAGAGAGACACGAAAGACATTGAGACAGGACTTGGAAAGAGGCATTAGCAAAGATAGTACAATATTGTGTGTGTTTGAATCAATTGAGTTACAGATTATTACAATTTACCGCCAGCAGCACATGAGAGAGATCGGATCGACGGATCGATCTGTTCGGAGCTTAGCTTATCGGATCTCGATTCCGATTCCGATTCTCGGGTGTTTGGTACTCGGTTCTCGGTTCTCGGAACACATTTTATTAGCCAGCGGCGGATCAAGCGATATTAGTGTGGGTTGGCTTGAGAAGATTCGGTTCCATCTGCCGTTGACACTGCAGGTGCACAGTTTTAAACTCGAATTTAGCACATTGCTTGCACATTTTTCTTTCGTTTTCATTTTGGTTTTTTATAATAGCTTTGTTGGTTTTTTATTTTTTTTATTATGATTATTATTAGGTATTGTTGTTGGCCATCGCGCGCCTCGGTCTTGGGACAAGTACACACTTTTTGGCCTATTTGCAACGAAAAAATTCAAGTCAATTAAACGGTTCAATAAATTCAATAAATTTTTTAATCGTCATAAATTGGATTTGTTTTCTTTTGGTATTTTTGTTATTATTATCAAGGAGAGCAAACAAGCGCGAAAGGGATGTTGGGGGTGATATATATGTATTTTTGGGGCGAATGTTCTTTTTACAAACGCAAATTTCGTTTCAAGATTATAGAATTAGCATGTACGATTCGTTATAGTCAACAGATAGAGATGTGGGGGGAAAATTGTCCACCCTCTGCATACACACACAAAAAATGCAAGTTATTGGTACAAGTGCGGATAAATCATGGAAAATATTCATTATTTGTGAGTTTTAGTTATAAAAGAAAACTGGATTTTCAAGCCTTTTAAATAAGTCTTACAAATAACGAATTTTTTCGGAACCTGGTCATCATAATAGATGTATTATACTTCGATTAAAAAGTAATAAATGTACAGGATCTATTCTCTTAAATGGCCTCAAATTTAATTAATTTGTAATAGAACCCTTTAAAAGGATTTTAGAAGAGTTGTACTTTTAAAATTCAGCCCTTAATTATTTTATTATCGAAACTAAGTAATCAATTTTATACGCTTTCTTTTTACTTTTTCTTTCAAAATATGACTATCACTTTTTGACCCTTTCACCACTATTTCTGCGAGCGCAGCTGTATGTGTGGGCGAGAAATGTTAACGGCGGGATACCGTTAAAGTCTGGCTAGATTCTTGGCGGAATTCCCGCCGCGCTGCCAGCTCTCGTGTGTATATGTACGC